TTTTATTTATTAGAGATGAGGAGTTCCTGAGCCTACATATGATCCACATATATTAGCAGCGCGAGGGACAGTTGACGACGAAGAGACGAAGGTGAATTGTGATGAAAGCGGCTAACAAGAGAAGTTCCAGGCAATCCGACAGAGCAAGCAAGCAATCGACCAAGCATTGTGGACCCAATGGATGGACCGTTTGAAGGCCCAGCCAAAGCAAGCAAGTTGACAAGAGTTGGAATCCGCAGGTCTGCCAGGATCGCAGCCAAGCAAGGAACCGCAAAGGGAGTCACTTTCGCACAGGAGTGTACCAAGACTGAAGATCAGGAACCGAAGAAGAAGCCGCTTCTGTATGAGACAATGGCGGCAAAGACAATGGCACAGTTCATTCATGAAATCAACCACGGAAGGATCAAAGATGACTCCGTGGAAGGAGCAAGTCATGCGCAGCAGCACTTGTTGCCCAAGGGATTGAAGATCTGGGGTGACAGAGCCAAGGCCGCAGCACGAAAAGAGATGGATCAGCTGCACAGCCGTGTGGCATTCGCTCCAGTTAGGCCAGAGGACTGTAAAGAATCGGAGCTCAAGAAGTCCCAAGTGACACTCATGTTCTGTACGGAAAAGCGAGACGGAACCATCAAGGCCAGATCCGTTTTCAATGGAAAGCCAACGAGAGTATACCAGGACAAGGATGAAACACGAAGTCCGACAGTTTCGCTTGAAGGTCTAATGTTGTCGATGTGCGTCGATGCCAGTGAAGGCCGCGACGTGATGACTTTGGATGTACCCAATGCTTTTATTCAGACAGCATTGCCGCAACCCAAGGATGGTGGTGATAGGGTGATCATGAAAATTGAAGGCATTCTTGCAGAATTGCTAGTGGAAATCGACCCAGACACCTACAAGCCATTCCTTGTCTATGAGAAGGGGAGACCTATCCTCTACGTTGTGGTACTGAAGGCACTCTATGGAATGCTCATTGCGAGTCTACTTTGGTACAAGGCATTCCGCAAGGATTTGGAGTATATTGGTTTTGAATTCAACCCCTACGATCCTTGTGTTGCATAACAGGATGGTCAATGGCAAGCAACAGACTATCCGTTTCCATGTCGACAGACCTCATGTTCCAGTCATAAGATGGCCAAAGTGAATGAATTCCTGGCCTGGTGCAACGAGAAGTATGGTACACTACGGTGACTGTTTCAAAGGCCAAACCAGGAGGGGGGAAAACACAGGGGGGCACGATATCTAGTGGATGTCGATTGATTTTCGGAGCTGGCAAAGTCAAGATCGATATGATTGATATTTGACCAATGGTGCTCGAAGAGTTCCCTTGTAAACATTTGAATCATGTCCGTTCTGTCCCGAGTGCAGCACTCAGCTGATTTGTTTTCTGTGGTGACGTGACAATCTGGAACCTGAACGAAGGATACCATCCACAGAACACAGCCAAACTACTCCTTGCCTGTAAGAGTGTCATCGTCCAGACATGCAGACTTGACTACCGTCCTTTGTATCTCGATGAAACAGCCGAACCAGAACGATTGCGGCAAACTTCTCCAAGGCCTAAAGTTTATTCAACAGACTTTGAACGACAAGCTCATCACTCATGCTGACGACGTTCGTATTATACGATGGTGGGTTGACGCGAGTTTGCTGTTCATCCCGACTATCGATCCCCATACTGGAGAGTGCTCAGTTCGGCCGCGGTGCACCCATTGCTTCTCTAGCAAGCAGAAGCTCAACGCTCGCAGCAGTACCGACGCCGAACTCATTGGAGCCGACGATGTTATGAGTCCTTTGTTGTGGACCAAGTTATTTCTGGAGGCTCAAGGTGTTGATGTTCAGGAGAACATCCTTTATCAAGACAACAAGAGTGCTATCATTCTCGCTGAGAATGGTAAGAGCAGCGCCGGTAAGCGTACTCGTGCTCTGAATGTGCGTTTCTTCTTTATTCACGACCAAGTGAAGCAGGGAAATGTACGAGTGGTGTATTGTCCCACACAGGACATGCACGGGGACTTTCTCACGAAGCCCCTCCAAGGTGCCCTATTCCATGCGCATCGCGCTTTCATTATGGGGCATCCTCCTATTTAGTTTAGTTTTTAATCGTTCCGTGGATCCATTAGGGACCACGGCAGGAGTGTGTTGGCCGGTCTAGATATTTAGCGGACCCGGATAAGAAAAAGACCGCACCACCGTAGGAATTTAAGGAAACTGGCATTCTCAGATCCAGACTTCAAAGCAACCAGCCAGAAAGATCACTTTTTCTTCACAGCTCGCCCAAATCAACAAATTAACCTTGATATTACTAGTAGCTGCAGTGTTATTAGACCCAACAGATGATAGTACTAGCCAGCTAGCTAGCTATCCTGGCTTCTCGTGATGGCTGGCTATCCATCAGAATATCTGATGGCTGGCTATCCATCAGATCGTGATGGATCTGATGGCTGGCTATCCATCAGATATTCTCGTGCTGGCTGGCTATCACGATAGCTGGAATGGATAGAGCTATCGTGATGATCCATGCCAGCATAGCTATCGTGATGGCAGCTATCGTGATGGCAGGCTGTGATATTGTGGTGATGGCGTGATGGCCAGCCGTGGGTAGAAGCAGGCGGTTAACGTGGAAGTCTTCACGTTGGTGTTGGTGTTTTCTGGTGTTAACGTGGAAGTCTTCACGTTGGTGTTGGTGGTTTCGGCTGTTGTTTTGGCGAAAGCTGTTGTTTTGGCGAAAGCAGCATCGGCCTAGCCTAGATGTCTCACTTTGTCTCACTTTGTCTACCAATGTCTCACTTTGTCTACCAAATGTCTCACTTTGTCTCACTTTGTCTCATTTTGTCTCACTTTGTCTCACTTTGTCTACCCAATGTCTCACTTTGTCTCACTTTGTCTACCGAATGCCTGGAGACATTTTGCTATGTCTCCGGTCTTGCAATGTCTAAGAATGTCACCAAAGTGGGGAAGGTCTACTTCGGTCCTTGAGTAATGTTTGACACAGCATCGCCAAAACAAGTTGGCCGGGCCAAACAGGCGGTAGTTGGGAACTTTTGGGACAAAATGCCGAGTAACCCTGGCAAAAAGGAGGGCATATCCTGTACTGCACCCACCGGGACCAGAACGCATCCACACAAAGCATCCGCTCAATCCGAAGGCGACCACCCTTTCATCGTCAATGGATGAGTACACTGTACAGTACTTTGACTGGCAGGACTGCAATGTTAACTACCGAGATATAGCTAGCTAGACTCACAACGACCGACTGACTAGAAGAAGGCCAAGCTTTCCTCCTCGTATGTTGTTGCTTTTGCTGTTAGCCAGGAGAAAAAGGCTCAAAGCCAGCGCAGAGAATGTCAAATCCAACTGCGGCAACCATTCCTCGAATCCTGAGGGAACGATTTCGATCAGGTCCCCGCTTTGGCTACTCCAACACCTTTTCGGACTACTTTTCTCAAGATGATGATGTTGCAATGGACTATGTCAAAGGACTCTTGGCATGTGGCTTGTTTATTCTCAGTATGTTTCTCTGCTGGGTGCTACTGCTGCTGGTCTTTAAATGTTTGGGGCGCAAGAAGGTTGGGTTTCTGAGTGGGGCTCCCTTTCACGCCATGGCCAGCAACACTGACAATCATGTGGCAGTCAATCCATGGATTAGCAGGGGGCGGTGCATTGTGGCCTTCTCGTGTGGTGCCATGTTCATTTTTGCCATATTATTGACTACAGTTGGCCTTGGGAACATTGACGTGACGACTACCACTATTGGAGATGGAGCCGTGGTGAGTTGAGTTGTATTCCAAATCGAACATGGTATTTATATGCCACCCGGCTTCTCCTTGTGTTGTGTTCTTGTGTGTGTGTGTTTTTTTTTTGTTCTAATTTTGCATGCCTCACCTGCCATACGGTACGGTAGATGGGATTCGATTACTTTTCTAATGCCCAGGGAACACTAGTAACCGCGGACCAATATATGAGAGCTGCAGCATCTACAAGAGACGAGGTAGTCGCAGAACTGATTCAGTTCTTAGGCGCCTTGAGAGATGCAAAGGAACAGTATGATGCTGGCAATGTGGAAGAAGCTGCAAGAATTACCATTCAAGCAACGGATGACCTTGGAGATTTTCTAAGAGGACACCTAATGGAAATCAACAGGACTCTCATGGATGGACAACAAACTTGTGTTGATGTCAAAGCCACCACAGATGAGATCAATCTGCGTGGTGTTCAGTGGGGAGTAGGGCTCGTTATGACAATCGTGCCTACCCTCTTATTGGGATGTCTGTGGTGGACTGTGTCTCCACCGCCAAGGAAGCACCAGCAACAGATGAATGCATGCAGGACCTGGTTCATCGTTCCCCTCTTTTCATTGTTGGTGGTTCTGTCCTTTGTTTTATGCAGTGCTATTTGCATAGCAGGACTTGTGAATGCGGATTTTTGTTCTGGAGGTGAGGATCTAAGTCCGGACTCGACAATCTTGAATGTCCTGATAGAACAAGGATCTGATCCTGATGGTTTGGAGTTTCGAGCCATTGAATACTTAGTGAGGGTAAGTACACAGACAGAAGAAATCTGGCCACGGACCTATTGGGATTTAGGTTTAGCTTATCCCTGCTTCCTTGTGTTCTGAAGCAATGTGACGCTTTTGGGTTGGTCAGAGGGACGCCATTGGCAGATGTTGAAGGCCTGAAGAGAAGTATCAACTCTACTCTTTTTGACATCGGATCCCTGATGGAAGAAATCACAGCCGTTGACACTGTAGCACTATCACAACAGGTTGGGTACAATGTAACAGTGGTACAGCTGCAATTGCTACGACTTCGTCAGCCACTACTGGATGTTCTGAGGCATTTAGTGGATTTTATTCATAGCTTGGCCTGCAGACCGATCTATGCGGTTTATCACACTGTGGCTCACAAAGCAGTTTGCACCGAGTCCTACACAGGGTTGTTTTGGGTTTTCATGTCACTGATTTGGATCTCTTTCTTTGGCTTGTTGGCTTTGACCTTCGGGTCTGCTCTTTACCCTGTTTTGGTACCTGAACCTTTCCTTTGGGATCTGGAGCTCAAAGAGAAGCAAGAAGGGGTTGATGAACAAGATTGCAATAATCAGCTGGATGGCAATCACGTACACTCGTTTCGAGCTGTTTCCAACGGAAAAGACGATAGCGACGTAGCACCAGTCCATCAGCTGCACGATGATCATGAACAAGCTTTGCATGACGCAAAAGGAGACAACAGCAACTTAAAACTCGACAAAGAACCGGACGATGATCATGAACAGATTCTACAAGCTGCCGCCATAGAGAACGCCCGAGAACCAGAGCCCAATGGTGCAACTTTCTGTTCGGTAAAGGAGCCAGCCGGCTTCGTTGCAGATATCGTCAATGTGGAAAGCATGCCCAACGAAGGAGAAGCAACTGAAAAGCCGTTGATTGATCCAACCCATCAATCGCCGCAAGAGAGTGGTGCGCAATTCGCAGAACGGGGGCACAGCTTTGATAGTCAGGTTTCGAATTCCCAGGCGGCATTGGGAGAAGGATCAGACGAGAACACTGAAGGCTTGCTCAAAGCAAGTGCTCGAGCTATAAGTGCAGTTCCGCTTCGACTGGAAGGCACGCCAAGTGAGGGTGAAAACGAGCACGATGTCTTCTTTTCCGTCAGAGATTCCACTGCAGATCCAAGGAGCATTGAACCACGCCCGTCCTGGGAATGGCCCTCATCTCCGATCAGTCCGCCAAGTCACGATAGCGAACAAGGCGTTGAGGCGGTCTACTCTGGAATGGATCCAGAAGAAGAGGCATCAGACTTACCCCAAGTGAAGGTTCACTCAATATTTTCAGGAAGAATGCCTTCGTAGAGAGACGCAAGTGGCGAAGATTCGTACGGGAATGGCAGCGAACAGAACCGGAGGCATCGAATTACGTGTCAGAGCCAGGAACCTGCAGAAGCGCGGTTTGTGCGAGAGGCCAACTCTAGCTAGTGGTGTGCGGTTTGCAAGCCGCATAACTGTCGAGAGAAGCGAATCAAAACTGCAGCGGTTCTATATGGCGGATCGGTCCGCAAAAGCCACAAATTGAAGCCCGCCTCAATCGAGTTGATCTTCCATGTTGCTAGCACGAGGAGACCTTCCGTTATTCTCGTGTAGTCCCCAGTTTCCCTACGCATCGACGATCCCATCGCATCTTGGGCAACGAAGCGTCCCTCGCAGTTGAGCGCCTCAGGAAAGCCAGACCGACGTAAAACCATCATCGAGTGGTGGAATCCGAAGGGCGACATTCAACCTTAACCAAACTCGGCTGCGTCAGAATGATCGTGCATTCAAACCACGACACAGGACGTGAATATCCGGAAGAACGCATTTAATGCACCGGCACGCCGTGGCTGTAACTTCGTCTACCACCGAGGACGGCGAAGGTTTGTCTACTCAAAACGAGCAGATAGTCATGGACTCTCAAAACTAGAATCAGCATTCTCTATTATTAGCTCCTTCCCTTTCTTGTCTAGAAAAATAAAAATGCTAATGACAGCTGATCAATTCAGGACGTGATGCACTGGACAGGCTGAGCGCCGGAAACGGTGACTGGGTCAGCCATGCATCTTCCACCCGTACCGTATGTGCGCCGTATCACTTAATCTCCAAGGACGGAACCACTTGCCTTGCTCAGCGCAGAAGCGCAGATTCCTTGTCTTGATCGCTAAATTCTCGAAGATTGTTGCATGCATGTAGCCTTCAATAATAGAGAAAATGATTGAATGAGGAAACTGAAATTTCCTTGTTTGAATATTAGCGCTTTCGGTTGGCTTGATAAAGAAGAAACATATGCCATCATTTAGACCAGAACTTGGAAGTTTTTCTCATTGTATTCGTTCTTGGTCGCGAGGGTCGTGGCTGGCATGGGTGTTCTCGGGCAGGAGGCACCAAATTTTCTCTGTTTGTGCCATGCCGGAAGTTAACCACTGTTTGTCAGCGTTGATAATATATGAGATCACGGAAAAAGTCAACGAGGCGGTGCTAATAAGCTGGGGATGCGTGTCCCCAGAGGAACAGCCCCGCGCTGATGCAGGTTTGAAGGAGCACGCAGCAAAAGCAGGAAGTGGGAAGAAAGTCGCAGCATGTTCAGCGCGGTGATTGCTCCGCTGAACCTTTGTTTGGCTCTTTGTCGCGTGATTTTGCGTATTGTAATGACCAGAGCGGTCCACGTGGATATTGTGTCAGATGCATTGCTCCGTCTCGTTCCCCCAAGCTAATCTAGCTAGAAGCTAGTTTGTCGCTTGGCAGACGGACGGATTTTGCGACAAAAAGTAAAAGGAACAATCGACATCGTCTCGAGCGGCAATAATGATTTTGGCCCATTCTTCATTGTTGGGCTGTTGTTCCTTCTTGTCATTGGCCATGACTTGGGCTCGTCCGGCCCGATTAAGTTTGAGATAAAGTAACAGCTGTGGATCTTGCAAATCCCGCCAGGGCCTCATGGGATGTCCTTGGTACATTTCCAACGTCTGTATCCGACAATTGTGCTGTAACATGCTGGAAAAGGCTTGATAAACGGCGGGGCGCACAATACGCGGATGCTGATATGTCCGTAGCAACAACTTGGTCAGTTGACTTTGGGTATTATTTTCCTGCAAGGCTTGTGCCATGGGAATGGCATCTTCGTAATCCTTGACAACCAAATGGAGTTGCTGCAAAGACGTGTTGTATCGTAGCATTTGTGCCATGGCCCATGCTGATTCTCGACTGAGAGAATCGCATCGATCCAAAAACAATTGTCGAATGGAACAAGTATCATTGACCAATGCTTGTGCCAGTGTCTGAACGTATTCATGTGGCAATCTCATGTAGCTCAGTGAAAGTCTTGTCAGACTGCGAGCATGTTCTAGAAAATGTCGAAAGGAATCCACAGATTCATTCTTGAGTAGCCACCGAGAGAGTTCCATCATATCGAGTTCCACCTCTCGCAATGCCGGCATGTCTCCCAATGCCTTGACCAGGGCATCTAGTCGATCGCAACTTCCAGGTGGTCTACAATCCGCCAGAGATATTTTAGTCAAGGTCGGATGTGCTACCAATGCCGTTGCCAGTGCCTGCAATTCCGTGGGACTCCCGGATAGACAAATGGATCGGAGCTCTAATGATTCCAGTGATAGAATCTGTGGCAAACAGGGCGTAATCGCCGTCACCGGGACTCGTAAGCGCAGTAGACAGAGACGCCGCAGATTGGGCAAACAACTGGCCATGCGCAGAACATCTCTGATTTCATCCGGTGACACATGAGTGTCAATAAAGCGACAGTACCGTCCTCGCAAGACGACGCTGTCAATCGACGAGGTAGCACGAGAAGTGGACTTTTGAGATAAGCGTTCGAGCACAGACTGGATACCATTGCCCAATTCCAAGTACAGGGGACCGCTGGGACACAGTTCCATCATGGTTTCTTGTTTGCTTGTTTGCTTGCTTGTATCGTTTCGTGTTTATGGGCGGACTGAAGCTAGCAAAGGGCTGAGGTGAGCCGTTGCTTCTGATTCGATTCGATAGCAGCTCAATGCGCTTGTAGCTTAATGGCTCACTGCTACGGTAGTTAGCTGGCTCTATCGCTGCATCTATCAACCAGCCTGTTCGCTTTCAACAATCTTCACCAATCTAGCTAGCTACTGGCTTGATAATAGGTGGGTCCAGTTCGTTCTTTTCCTTCTTTCGTGAGTTGATGGATGGTAGAAAATAATGAGGGTAGCATCACTTCTCTTTTCTTGCTTTGACAGAACAGTTCTTTTTGGAGGCAACCACGAAAGATCTTTTTGACGACACTGATGTCAGTACGTGGCACGATTGACTTTCGGGACTCCGTTTCATTAGGGTAAATTTCCACGTTCCACTCCACGTTCTCACCTCTTCAAAATCCAAAGGAACATGATGCCCTTTCATTCATTTTGAACGATAGCATAATATGATGCAAGTTTTCTAGGAGCTACCACTTGCGTTGAATCCAATCATCCCGCTAACCTCGCGTACAGTCGTTCCTGTGGTTATAGTTAGCGGTGGAGCTACCAAATTGCTTGGAAGTTCAGTTGTCGTCAATAATCGAGACCGTGGCTTTTTGAATGGTTCGATGAGATCCCGACCATTTTCTTCGCAGACATGAAGAACATGGCTCGGATTGACTCGTAGAAGAACGACATGAAAATGAAATGGACTCTGCTGCCGAAACAGCAGAGTTGTGGGTGAAGAACCCCTGCTCTGGCATGGCTCTGCCTCTTTTTTGAGCTTGTTTTGGGTTTTGACGGGGAAAGTTCCTCGTTTGCCTCTGATGTGTGTGTGTGTGAGAATGACTCGAGGTAAAGGTGACCGAGACCTGTGGTAATGGTGCTCACGCGTCCTTTATCACCGAGAATTCGATCGTCTCCAACTTTCGGTACTGCACCGTAGCTGGCAAGCCTGCGACCGGGCCACACGGTACCGGTACCGTATCCTTGGGCCAAAGTTTGGCCATCTGGGCGCTGCCAACGAAAGGGGGAAGCTGAGGAACAACCATGCTCGCAAACTCAGGAAAACTACAAGGATCGGAGAGCAGGTGTTGCCCCCACCACGCCCAACGTAACTACCCATTTCTAGAGCTCTCTATGACAGCTACATTCCGAAATGGGTTTTTCAATCGTTCACACAATATTTATTTTTCAGATAGATCAACACTGCATGGAGTGGCATGCTAGGACGTTGAAGCCCTCCTGATCTATCGTAACACCCAGCTGTACATGAAATCACAGGTGACTCGAACTAGAACCTCTTCCCAAGAAGCCTCGATCGCCACCGGTATCCAGAAAGAGTTGCCATACCCATCGGACTGCCGTATTGTTGTGTCTGCCGTGCTGTTGCGCCTGTTTAGCGAGCTGCCTTCTTTTTGGATTGCTGAGACTGATTTGAAACACTCTGAGGCAGAGGCAGCTCAGGTGCAGTGTCCCATTCTGGCAACGCCTCCAAGATTTGTGCAAACTGCAAGCCTCTCTCCTCCAGATCAATGCTGATTGGGTTACGTTCTTCAAACGATTGGGGTGACAGGAAGCCCCGAAGGAAGAAACCATGGATTCCAAACGACACCTTGGATTTAGACAACACGGTGGCTTTGTATTGCATATTAAGGTCCAACTCGATTGCCTCACGCCTGAAATCGTTGTTGTACCAGCCAATTTGTCCCAATTTGTCCCAACTTGTCGTCTGAAGCCAAACTTCGTCTGCGAATGCTTTCATCGTCGTTGTAACCTACAAATTCTGGAAATTTTCGTGGAGGAAAATGCACCCATTCACAGGATCGAGAAACATCAACTAGCTCAATGACCTTTCTGTCTGGCAACCTCAAGAGATGCACTGTGCCTTTCCAAAAAGTTTGCATTTGTGACAGCACGTGCTGATTCGGTTCAAGACGCGCTTGCTGCGCTTCGCAAAAATTCAGAATTGGGTGCTGCAGGGAGATCTCTCCTGTATCACCCTGAGCAAAAAAATTGGGGATAGTCTCTCCTGGAACAGCCATAGAGAAGAGGAGGTCGTTCTCCTTATATGCTGCCGTAGGAGTCCCCCGTAGCCGACGGCCGACCTCGCTACCGCCAAAGCGGACGTCCACAATCAACACATAGTCCTTTGGTTCAAACTTCGGTCCTGATGAAGCAGATAGTTGGTGCTTGCTTGGAAAAGGATAGGCAAATGTGCAGAAGTAGCCTTTGGGACTCGTTCCAGTTGCCTGTAGCAGAGTATTGGCAGTGTCGCTGCCCCAGTGGTTGCGGCAAAGATATTTCCAGACGTCATCGTCTTCGTTGGCGTCTTGATCTTCTTCTGTCTGGACATTCCAGTTCTTCTTGGTCATCACAAGCAAGCGTCCCAAATCAGGGGAGCGAAGAAAGCCACTCAATGCCAAGGGTTTCCAGACGCCAGGATCTTCCAATGACGGATTGGAGACATCAGTTGTTTTGGCGCGCTTGTTCAAGCTAGCACTGGGAGCCTCGGACACATCTCGCTTCTTGCTGTGGCAGCCGATGAGGTCCTGAGGGGTTGGAGACGATTCAGACATGGTGATGAAGGAGACAAGTGTTTGTCAAGGATTCAGCGGTGAACTTCAGCTTCGTCGAGGCTTTGATGTTTGTTTTGTTTTTTTTTGGACTTTGAATTGGGTTTACTATGGATTAGAGAGAGCTAAGATGAGGATGGAGACAGAGGTCAAGGGGGGCACGAGCAGAACGCAAGGCAGCAATCAAGTGCGCAGCAGGGCAACATGGAAACCAAGGATAGGGGTGAAGGCAGGAGGGCAGGGAGGAGCAAAGGAGCAAGACTAGCGGAGAGATCGAGGGCACCACAGTCATCCCAACGCTTGGAAACCTTGAGAGCTGAGACATGGGAGCCTCTCAAACACAATGTCGTGGCACGGGCAAGAGCTATGCTCACCTGGCCGAGATGAAAGAGCGAACACAGAGTAGGGCTTGGACCACTTGTAGCCAAAAGCTGGGAGAGCCGTTGGAGAACAGCAGTAGCTTCGGCAGCAAAGAGGCCATCAGCAGAAACAACAAAGGGGTGAAGTGGCGGCGTTGTGCAGTGCACTGAGCCTGGTACTTCGTCTTCTTCTGCCTCTCCCGCTGAGAAAGGGCCTTCTCAGCAGTGACACCACGGTCACGATGACCAGGAGACTCAACATCCACGAGGGAGACATCGAAAATACAATCGGTACCTCGATGCCAGAACCCGCGAACTAGGAGGTCACCCCGATCTTGGACAACGGGATCAGAGGGAGTAGGAGCATGGGAAGAATCAGCAGAGTCAATCGGAGCCATAGCTGGGCGACCAAGAGTGATACGGGGTTCGTCGCGGACAGCAGAGGGCATGAAAGCCATGGAAGATAAATCAGCCAGCTCGCGCACAATTTGATTGTGGCGCTGAAGAAGAAGTCCACCGTCCCACCGTGGGAGCAGGAAAAGGCATGGTGGAGACCAAACTTTTTCTTGCAGCCATCACAGTGGGGTTGGAGATCCGAAGGAGTCAGTCCATATCGAAGATGGAGAGAATCCCGAAACTCCAGGGGAGAGAGGACGGTGTCATTCTCTGGCATGGGGGTGACGGAGAGCCACGCCCCAGTTGAACAAGCCCGTTGGAGACCCTCACGACGGACTGCAGGCGCAGCAGCCTTGATGGTGGCAAGAGTCTGTTGAGCCTCTTTCACACGAGATGCTTGAGTGTGAGCACGTGTGGCGGTCACATGAGCATCGTGGTCAGATAGACTAAAGGGGCTTGTAGAAGAGCCAGTGAGAGCCGTGGAGATTTGGATCGCCATGGCAACACTGGCTTCGTGTGAAGTGGCAGCTGTGGTAGTGGGATTGGGAATGCCCAGGCCACCGGCTTTGACAGGGAGAGCCGTGAGACGACGTGAAACAGTCAAAGCCGGGAGGGAATCATCGGGAGAAGGAGGATGGAAGAGACGAGGGAGAAAAGTCTCGGCCAAGGCAGACTCAAGAGGAGTGAAGGCAGTAGCTTCACATTCATTGACTCGTTGCACAAATGTCCACTCATGTTGCAGTGACTTGGAAAGACCACAGTATGCAGACTGAGGAAAATTTGGGCAGGCGTCAGAGAGCAGGCCCAGGCGCCGAGTCCAATCAGACACCTTGTCCTGGAGCCAGGAGGAAAAAGCTGCTGTGGAACCAATGAAGCCGCCAAGGTATCGATGACCAGAGGTGAACTTGAAACCAAGGTTCGAAAGGTGGAGACGAGCAGCTTTTGTGCTGTCATCTGCCGGGGGAACAACTAGGACACACTTCGCCGCTTGGGGAAAATAGCCAAAGGGGGCTCCTTCGACTTCCAAACGTTTGTAGAAGTGACGGATATCTCGGAAAGAGCCAACTGCAGCACCATCATCAGCATACCAAGGCTGAATGAGGTTGGGAAACTCGTTCTTCAGAGAGCGGATAAGGGGAAGTAGTCCCATGCCGTAGACATGCATGGAGAGAGGATCACCCTGGACCACACCGACACTGCTAGAAATGGTGGTGAATTTGCCTGCTGAATCCCGAACCACTTTTGAATTGTGACGGCGACAAGCACGAAACGAGAGCAGCAGAATAGCAATAATAATGCAGCATTTTTCGTACATTATTTTGAATGCAACATGCCTTTACAGACAACGCATCTAAAACATCAGTGTTGCTCGCTAGCTAGCTAGTTGCGATTCTCTCCCCGAGTTAAATTCAACAGTACCGCAGGAGTGACTAGGAGGCTGAGCCCGACACTCGGCAACAAACGAGTCGGCTCTACTAGTTTGACAGAGGGAGAGTCAGCATCGAACCTGAGGCAAAGAGGGATCCAATGAAAATGATATAAGCATGTAGGAGACGAACCGCAAGCTGTTGGGTTGGAAGAGCCAAGGAGTCAAGGAGCCAAGGAGGCGGTGGGGAGGGAGACTGGTTGCAAAGGGACATGAAAATACGGTAGGAAGGAGGGGGAGAATATCTGCGAGAAGGAGGGGCTCGGGAGAAGATGGAAGCCGGACGTAGTTGGGAAAGGCAAAGGCAAAGCTATACATTGCGTGCATGGTTGTTGCAGCCATATAACTTTTCCGGGTGAGTTGCTTGGCTCGCTTTACCGTACCTCATCACTGCCGTACCGTACTGATGTTTGTGCCAGCGGTGTGTTTATGGTTTCTGCCACATTCTCCAGAACTGTAATTGACGATGGACCAAAACTAGTCCTATATGGAATAGCAAAGTGCATGTATGATTCGATTCAATCGTTTGTTTGCACCAAGGGCTAAATGGAGACCTTCACAAACATCAACCTTGATGCATTATTGCCCTCTGACAACGTGGTACTGGCTAGAACTTGCGACTCTGGCTAGGACTTGATCTGGCCAGCTTAATTCACCAGCGGAGGCAGGCAGATGAGCTGAAACCGGACTACAGCAATGCCTCCTTGGATCTCGGAGAGAAGCCGAGAAATGTGTGCGCCTGGGACGTAGCTTTCTCGCTCTCAAACCCAATGACAACATGATCGTGTGGATCACAAGCAATGATGGCTCTCAAGGCAGAGAGATCGAGCCACTGGACAGGAGTTTGACAACCTGAAACTTGACTGTAGCTGCTTCTATCCAGAAGGGAAGCACATTTACAGTACTCTATCCCAGCCGGATGCTTTTGAATGTGTTTCCTGGCTGGATGCCCACAGATGCAGTACAGTACTGGTACGCCATCTTCATGTGGCTGGGTTGACGGAAGCACCAGGCAGATCATGCATGCATCAAGACACAGTTGTGTGGGCGGATGGTGAGCGATGCCCATGTTCTTTTGGCCTAGCTAGTATGGATGGCATCATTCTTTCACATGAATTGGTGCATACAATGGCATAGCTACTGTACCAGAACGAAAGCAGCAATGCGAAACAGATAGTTGTTTGCAACTAGCTAGCAAGAACTGGGGTCGTATGAAGCTATCCTGCATACATGTCCTAGCTAGTTTTGCTCCTACATAGCTAGTAGTCTAGTCTGCTCCTACTCCATGAGCGAGCTAAACGAACGACCAAGTAGTCTACTCGTACGGTTCCGAATCAGATTCAAAATAGATCTATTTTCATGATACTAGCCGAGCGACGTTTGCTTGTTGTAGTCTAGTCAAGCATCCTCACTGGGTTCTGTGTGGTAGATTAGACTACCGTACAGTATCATCATTTGGGTGATTGGGTATACGTAGTGCGGTGTCGCGTCCTCTCCAAGCGTCAGGTGAGGGGTGATGCATTCGGACGCGTGCCAACACGCTGAAACTTTCTCTTCGGAAACCCCTCTTTCTGGATCTTCCTCTCAACTAGACTACGGTAGCTAGCTAGATCTTTTTGTGGTTGCTCTCTGCGCATCGGGCTGTGCGATGCAGCGTCTTCGGGAAAGAAACAGACCAGCTACAGAATCGAATCAAATGCTGCTCTTCCTAGCTAGCTAAATCAATGGACGTCTCGTTTTGTTGCTTACTTTTTGTATTTATAGGATTATATGTATAGTTAGAGGGAGGGTGTGCTGGCAAGGATTGACTTGCATAGCCGCACCCAAAAGATAGAGGTTTGCTGGTTAACCTCATATTGAAAACACGGGACGTTGTATGTAGAAAATGACCACGGAAGAGATAAATAAGTTTGGATGTCAACTTATGGCACCCAGCCAATGGGGGAAATAGTGGAAGAGACTTGTAGAAAGAGCATTTACATAATGTTCTGGGTGACGCAGGTGGGGGAGGATGTTCGTCCGTAGATGGGTTGCTGCGGAGCACCACTGCCTTGGTCAAAGACCGATTGATCGGGTACATTGTAGAGACTGCGTAGACGAGCTTGGCAGTCTCGTACGAGTTCGTCTTGTCCCGGCGCCACAAATACCGAGAGATCTTCGTAGGAGAGGTGATCTTCAAAGGCGTTCATGAGTGCGGCAATGGCCACGGTGGATGCCTGCTTGCCGACAAAGTAATAGTCAAGGACCGACAGCTCGACAAAGTATCGAGCCATTTCGTAAATCTTGCTGGCGGCGGGGTTTGGCTTGGAGAGCTGGATAAAGTAGGAGAGAAAGGTGTAGGGAGTCGGCGGGTGGACATGCCAATTCAGGTTGGTCAAGATCTCCATCTCCATGGCTTGCATTTGTGCTTTACTGAACGTGCCTCGGCTCAAATGAGCCATCGTCTCCAACGAGAGCATTCTTGGCTGATCCAGCTTGACCGCAATGTAGAGACACGTCATGGCCAGCAATTGGAAGGCGTGCTTGGGAATGCCTTCGGGGTGTCTCTCGACATGGTGCGCCAAATAGCGATCCAAAAAGCTCATGCAAGCACTGACAATGTCACGTGGAAAGTCAAAGTGATCCACCACTGCAGCAAAAGAGACAAAGAGCTCTGTTAGACCGACTGTTTGTTTAGAGTGTCGGTCTATCCATCGATCGAATAAGCGTGGCTTACCGTGATACGCCCACTCGCACATGACTTCTCTCCAATGTTGGTTCAACATCTTGCTGTTGTTGCTGCCGCTGCTTCTGCTGTCATCCACTGCCTTGTGTTGTTGCTTTTGAATGAGAGCGCCCAAGTAGTCGCTCGTCAGGTAAAAGGTGGTCTCTTGGCGAAAGAGAACATCCAACCGATCTTGAAGTTCCACGGTGTTGTGGTTACTGCTGCTGCTGCTGCTCATGGTGAAATTGATTTGGTGGTGAAAAAGACGGTGGAGCAAAGGATTGTTTGCCTTGGTTGTACCTGCTGGTTGCTTCTATCAACTCGACGTGTTCAAGAGGAGGAAGCGTAGAGACAAGACAAGGCAAGAAAAAGGAGGGAGTAGTAAAGCACCGGTGCTATACTAACCAACAACAGGCCGCCAAAGTTTTGGAGAGAATGTGTGATGGGTGAAAATGTGGGTTGAGACAGGAAAGGAATCCTTTTCCGATCGATTTGATGGTGCTCTATACTTCCTCCGTGAGAAAGAAGATATCAGTACTGTTTCTACGTGATGTCTCGTACAATAAAATTGGATCCAACCAATGCTGCTCCGCTAAAATGTGAGTGGGTACCGCATGGTCAAAACCGTAGACCGTCACGCTGCCTTGAGTGCAACCGTCTACTTAAAAATCCTAAATTCTCTCGTGTCGAGACTATTTCGGTTGGAGATGCTTACCTTTCCTTCTCATTGGTTTTAAAACAACGAGGCTGCAGGGCAAAGAGCTCGAAATTGATGAAACACAATGCAAATCAAGGAATCGTGAACGAGCTCTTTGATACCTATAAAGCCTACAAGAATCGGTTTGGGCGCCTTTGGCACGTTGAGGTGACGCTGGCTCCATTTCTCGTTGGTTGTGTCAGTATCATTCTACGAGTGGGCGGTTACGGAAGTTTCTCAGGGTGAGACCAAGGTAGAGACGAAAGGTATACCAGCGCTTGCCACACCAATGCCTCAACCGAATTCGTGAACGTACCTTAACTAAGGGCCTACTTAAAATGTCGTTTGAGCTTACCGACTTCCACTTCCCGGATCATAGTAGTCTTTTACTACTGCGCATACTGCCACACAATGTGGATCCCAACGAAAAGCGGGAGGCAGGAACAATAACTACACACCCCAGTAGTTGGAATTGGTGCAAGCTACAGGAGGGGCAACCGATGTAAATCTAAATGGGCTAAATGGATCTTTATTTGTGACACCGGCTTCGGCTTCTTAGTGAACGTCATTCAGGATTTGGTTGCATCCCCTTGGCTTTTGCTTCCTTCTCGCCACGATCCTCTAGAAGGATGCAATGACACTCGATGTAACATAGAGTCCCGCTCGAGAAGCCAACTGCAATAAAGAAGTTTCTTGGGGCGAAACGAATTATATGTATAATGTAGCTCTAGCTGGCCACAGCTCTGGCCACTGACCTGGATCGGACTGTTTCATCTATCTCATCAGCTGGCAGCTACTGCAGAGCTCTCTGCAGAGCAAAGCATATGGAGAATGGATTGGCTGCAGGCAGGGAACACCTCAGGCGACATACCGGTACATGTAATTGCAGAGTGAGGGGGGTGGAAAAGCAAGTGACGAACTCTTTCATTTTTGGTAGACTACCTGTCAGTAACTTGCTACGGTAGGTGCAGGTAAACGATGTAGAATCGAATCCAATGATTGATTCAATTGTTTGTACGATATGCAAATTAGCCGTGGCAGAAACATACAGATATTGGCAACTGGTTTGTTGCATTCTGACGATGTACCTGGTGCTCCCTTTAGATGGCATGGAGGCAAAGATAGGCGCTCTTTGTCAGAAAGAAATCTCTTTGCTGGCTCTGGAGCTGGTACTCGACTAATAGCTTTGAGCTCCCTGCCTTTCATCCCAAAGCAGGAACCCTTCTTCAACCCTGTGCTTCGTCAAACCATGCCACGAATTCATCACATTTGGGGGAGAACCCCCTTTCAAACCAAAAGAGCATCCCTGACTCGACTCAACTGCACGGGTTAGTTCAGTGCCAAGTGACGATTTGGTTCAAAGATGATGTCACAGCTTGTCACAAAGATTTAGAACAATCTGTCATTGGCGGAGTTATGGGCGATCATCTTGCTTCATACAGCACCGTGTGATTGTACATGTACTGGTACTATAATGGTACCGGTACCAGTACCAGTACTAGTCTACTGTACGGAATTCAGGGCAATTTCTTGGGCAATAAAATAATTACGAACAACAGATTTGTCATTGGTCCCCGCTTCTCCCCACAGCTTCTCGTCACAATCAGAGGCCTACTTTACCCAGTATTCAAGAACTTCTGGAAGTCAGGAATCCCGCGAAAGTTACTGCCGACTTTTGAGTCAGTACATGTTGCATGTCCTAATTAATTAAAGGCCTAAAATTGCACAACAAAGGCTTTAAAAAGTAAGTTGCTGTTGACGTCACTAACAAAGCTCTTACGAGGAAAGCTCACAACTCAAGCTTTGTGAGTTGTGAGCTACTATTAATACTAGTAGTACCGGTATGCTAGCATAGTACGACTGTAGCTGCACAGCAACACTCGTACCGGTAGCGGTAGATCTAGCACCGGGGGCCAGCTTTTTTGATAGCTACTCATCAGTCCCAGACTATACCGGTACCGGTATACTATGGTACTTGTGTGCATCGCAGCAGCTACATGTATCGCAGCCAGCTTGTACAGGCACCGTAGCTTGTAGAGTGTACAATTTAGCAATTTAGAGTGTTCAGTGATGCAATCCGATGTACGCTACATGCCGGTCTGGTACCCGTGAGGTACACGCGAGTCTCCAATGATTGCAAATAGCAAATAGCAAGGTTCACTGAGCTGAGCATTGGCAATTGTTGCCGACAGCTGACAGGAGAGACCTGCCATTCATTTAGGATTCCTCTTGTTGACCACTGACCATTGCATTTACAGTTCGTTTTTGTATCTGCAGGTTGCAGCGTGGTGCGCTGGTACGGTACTAGCTAGCTAGCACTGCTACAGTAGCAGAGGTTACAGTTTCTTTGGATGCAAATTGCATGATGCATGTACGTGTATGTGTACATGTAGACTAGTAAGATCCAGCAATGCTGCTTGGCTGCACTTCTTTGTTTCTGGGGAGCAACCTGAAAAGAAGAAAAAAGGCCCCAAGAAGCTGCATTACAGTACCTCCAGCCACCAGCTGAAGATTTGTAGCTAGCTAGCGAGTAGGAGGAGCACTATTTTGTGCTCTTGCTTTTGTTGGAAGAAGCAAGTGAGCCTTACCAAGCCTCCGGCTTCCTCCACGGCTGGCCGGCCCATTGAGCAATGCCCTGGCTTGTAAAGCACTTTGGCTCCCGATAAAAGAGCTGGCGCCGAACTGAACGAGCAAGAGCCGGATTGGGGAACCAGGGAATGTTGGCCAGCTGCAGACTACACTGATGATCATCAAGTAAGTAAGTGTTGATGTTCCAGGGACACAGGGACACGCCTCCTGCATCTTTTGAAAGGGAGCCAAAACACCTTTCGTGGATATTAACAGCTCTGCGGGTTGCAATTTTTGTTAGCGTTAGCGTTAACGGTAAAGATATTACAAAGATCCTTCTTCCTGTCTTCCAAAATGCGACGTAAGAAAGCAAGCTGTTGCTTCTTTGTGGCTGGCTATTCAATATTCAAGTGCATCTGCAGCCGACCATGACAGAATCTTTCAGTTTATCGCACCTAATAAGACTACCACGATGACGGTCTCTCGGCGCACGTCTCTCCTTGTGGCCCTTGTGGCGACTTTTGCTCCTATTTCTTGGGGATGGGTAGCTTCGAACTCCCGCATCCAACGAGATGCCGTGGTGCTAAGGGCCAAAAAGAATGACAATATCGGTCGGCGAAAATTGTTGGAAACTGTGGTAGCCGGATCTGCTGCTCTGGTTGTGCCATCGGTTGCCAATGCGGCTGTGCAACGAGCTGTGGGTGGTAAGTAGTAAGCCAATCCGAATTTCTTTTTTGCCTTCATGATATGATTTTGTCATGACTTATCCGTTTTTCTTCTTGATCATTCATTTACAAAATTAACAGGAGCTGAAATTGACTGCCGAGAACAAGGGAACTGTCTGGAAATTGGACAATTGGATGGAGCCGTCGGATGGAATTGGGGAGGAAAGGACCGTTGTGATGCCAGTGATCCTCGTTGTGGACCGGACGGAAAACTGGGAGACCTTCCCACGGGAAAGCCCATCCCGGCTGTGACTAGCAAAATCACGCATGTGGCAGAAGTGGTGATTGATATTGGTCGAGAGGAATCGGGAGTATTGCATCTAGGTTTTTACGGAGAAGAGTGTCCCGCCAGTGTCCGACAAATGCTACAATTTTTGACTTCGGGAATCGCAACAACCAGCAAGTTGGCGTTTGAAAATGGCATGGGTGTCAAGTCATCCCCCGTGTCGCTATTGCAGGGTGGAAAGATCCCGGATATTGTTCCCGGAAAAGTGGTGGATTTTGGTGTTCCGTCGCAGGCTGCTGCCTATTCACGGGCACGAGGACTCCGAACGGCGGGAGATGAGTTTGTGCCACAACCGAGACCCAATGTGGACGACACCAAAGATGATCCCTTTGTGAGACAGCATGACGTGGCTGGATTGATCACCGTCCCTTCCAAAGGCATTGGGTACGGTGGCAGTGGATTTGAATCCGAGGATGAAGCCTTTGAGAGTGCCTTTCAAATCATTGCCGATGCCGTACCAGCTCTGGACAAGGGCAAGGGTCGTGTCATTGGACAGGTGATTGATGAGCCATCCATGGCATTCTTGGCTCGCTTGGCATCCATCCCAACCAAAAAAGGAATCAAAGGTGTCGTCCCTGGACTCAACTCGGGTCCGCCTCTGCCGAAAGTCAGCATCTACGATGTCACGGTCAAACCAGTGCAGTAAACAATGATCGCGAACGTAAGCTTGACTGACATGACGAGCGAGAATTCAAATGCTACGGTAGTACAGATTGGATAGGATACAACGAACTATTGTTGGAATATTGTTTGGCAGCCTGTTTTAGTTCATTTTCTCGAAAGGCATCGAATCAACTCTCGCGTCCGTGGGGAGGCAATTAGGTTTAACTTGGCTAGCGCAAAAGTCCTGTACGTTTAGGCAGTGCGTCCACTTCAAAGTTGGTCTACCTTCTTTTTGACGAGTAACATTTCTGGTTACTGGCGGCAATACCACACGATCTAGTGGAAGTTGACAGTCAAAGGGCCTGCTGCTATCACCAGAATGAGGTGGGGAGCAAATCACAACGCCTCAGGCATGGGCAGTGGAGACTGATCCGTTCGACCGATTATTTGCTGGACGGTGGGTGGACACAGAAAAGCATCAAGGATGGACAGCGAGGTAATTGATTACCTAGCTAGGCACAATTATATGGAAGAAACAGTCGTATGGGAACCCAGGGAAGGTTTTTTAAAAGTGTGACGTGATGGCCTTCAAACCCTCTGAAGCTTATGGCCTCTTCTTTGCCTGAGCCTGGCCCTCGCTGGCTTCTGTAGATAGCTTCCCTGCTCTAAAACCTCTTTATCCTGTAGTAGCTACCGCTACAGCTACGGTCTAGTAGGACAAGGCATCCCGCAAGGTTCAGATAAGATGTCAGTCTACCGGTACTAGCTAGCTGGAGTAGCGGTAGCTAGATGAAGCTTTCAAAACAGCAATAATAATGTATTGTATCGCGCTGGTTTTCGAAAGCACCGGACCACACATCGTAATTAGGACGTGGCATCCCACTCTTCAAGCGCTCCGGAAAAGTACCATATTTTGAGTTAGAAGGGAAAGCACTCCGGAAAAGTACCATATTTTGAGTTACAAGGGAAAGCCCTCCGGATAAGTACCATATTTTGAGTTAGAAGGGAAAGCACTCCGGAAAAGTACCATATTTTGAGTTACAAGGGAAGCGCTCCGGACATGTCACGTTGACTATGTCGCACGGCGATACTTCGAACGTCACCATTCATTGGCGATGCGTCTGCGAAACCCCATGGTCGCCACTCACACGTGTGTTTTCGCTCTCCCACCACTGCAAAACTACATTCCTTGCTTGCATCAGCATCCTGAGCAGGTAGGTCCCTTGCTAAGGGAGAAGCACTTCTCTAGCTAGCCAGCCAGCCGTAGCCAGCCACCGATTAATTGCATCCAAGATCAAATCAACCATGGGCAACACAGTGGCTGCTCCTACCGTGGGCAACCCGGTTCTCTCCAGCAGGACGAAAGCACGAGCTGTCTATGAAATATCGGAAGCGGAATCAGATCGGCTCTTTCGGGAAAAGATTGGTTACATTTCTGTGATTCAAAAGGCGCATTCCAATAACAGTGGCAGTAGTGGTGCTGCAAGTGGTATTAATAAAAACAGTCAACACAGTCATTCGCATCGCAACACTGGCGACGGGCTCGCCCTGTTTCCAGGCGATTTGGTCAGTGCCGTTACAACCTTTACAGATTTATCCTCTCGACAGTCTGGGAGTAAGACCACCAACACTGGAAGTAAGACCACTGGAACTGGCAGTAAAACCACCAACACTGAGAGTAAGACCACTGGAAACACTCGAACCACCAGAAACCTATCATCCAGAGAAGGAGACACTGGTGGTGGCAGTGGTGGCACGGGCATGTCGACCCCTCAAGTCCGGGAAATCGCGATTCGAGGCGGCACACGGTCAACAATGTCTCCAACTCACAGCAGTTCTAGTAGTCTGAGCAGTAAGGAGGGACAAGGCAGTTTTGGTATTGCGAGCATCAACCTGCCCAGCAAAGGAAGTAGCAGCAAAACTCCCAGCATGGCTGCTAGTGGTAGCACGAGCAAGGGAACTGCCAAGGAGAGTCTCGGCTCGAGCAGGGGAACGGCCAAGGAAAGTGTCGGTACGAGCAAGGGAACAGCCAAAGACAGTTTTTCCACGCGTGGTACTGACATTAGCCAGAGTGCCAAAAGCAAGGACAATGCCGGTCGGGAAGGTGTGGCCAAGGAAATTGTTGCCTATGCCGGTACTATTCAGGGTGGGATAAGCCAAATTGGCGTATCCAAGGACAGCACTACTAGCAAGGGAGGAAAGAGCAAAACTAGTAGCAACGCCAAGTCAATGGCCAGCTTCGGTGCCAGCAACGGTGCCAGAAGCAAGGAAAGCAACAGTGTTTCAACCGAAGGGAGCGCCTTGTGGGGCATGATGCGTCAGACCAGCGATCGTGAGAGCATCCCCAGTAAAGCAAGTCAGAAAAGTCGGGTATCTAAGGCATCACTTGCAGCAGCCAGTGTCCGTCAGCGAAGCCAGGCATCCGGAGTAGCGGCGGCGGCAAAGCCTGTTGTTTCGAGATTTGATTCCGTCACATCCATCACCAGCATACCTTCGCAATTCATTCAAAGCAGCAGTACATCCTCCTTTCCGACCTTGGCAGTGCAACTGCCAGCAGAGCAAACCCAGCTTCAGCAACAAATAGAGGCTCAGGATACAGAAACGCAAATCCTCCTCAAAGCGATGAAGCGGAAAATGGAACAAGCGGACTTGGAACGAGACTCCTGTTTGAGTCAGATTGAAACCTTGAACAAAGAGATGGAAGCCTTTCGCGAAGACACTACGAAAATGCTGGAAGAGAAGAACGATACGATTGAGCTCCACGAAACTGACATGGCCTGTCTAAAGCAGCAAATTCTTGTCCTTCAGACGCAAAACAAAGATGACAAAAATGCAGCCATGACGGAAACTCGAGGTCTACTCCGAAAAGTCACGACGCTTCAAAACACGTTGATGGTTGTCGAGAAAGAAAGGGATGCTGCAGTAGCGGCAATGGATGCTGTCCCCAGTGAGCATGGTTCAACCGCTTCTCCAGACGCCGGAGAATTGAAGGAGACCATTCAAGATTTGCTCCAGCAACTGGAGACTGCCGAAGAAGATCATCAACGGGAACAGAACGTGCTTCAAGAAGACGTCTTGTTGCTGCGCAGAAAGCTGGAGCGTCTCGAAAGTGATTTCATTGTAGTGGAGAGGGAACGAGATGATGCTGTGCATAGACTGGAACAAAGCGCGCATACACTGGAGGAGGAACGGGTTATAAATGCATCGGACATCAAGAAGTACCAGGACGAACTCCAAAGGTGGAAGGACAGGTATGTCCAAGAATTGCGATTCTCCAACAAGGAAACGGGTCAAATGCTGCAAAAGACAGCTGTCATTTTGGGCAACAGATTGAGTGCTGGTATCCTGGAAGGCATCCAAGAAGAGGACAACGAAGATGACGAGAACCTCGAGCCTTCGTCATCGTCAGGGCCCACCAGTACTAGTACACCATCTTCAATCGAGGACAGGCACGAGACATATCATCGGCTCCTTGCTAGGCTACAATCAGTTTCTCCAAGTCCGATACCGTCGTTGACGGATGTCAGCAGCAGTGCCGTCCCAACATCTATTGCCAGTTCTTCAGATTCAGGCCCGGTCTGGATCCCAAGTGGCCATAGAGGACACCACCAGCCTATGTCTGAGGTCTCCTTTGACGAAAATATATCCATCCCCAGCTTCCTCAGCAAAATCTGGTAGTGCTCTTGGTGTAGGTTGCGCTGGTGATTGCAAGCCTACAGGAGCGCTGGCTGGGACTCATTGCAGCGAAAGGGAAGAGAATGATTTGACCTGTCGGCGGTGCCACCCAGATGGGCGTACCGGGGTAGCAAATTGATGATGAAGTCCGCGTGGGGCACCTGCATCTCCAAACTCAAGACAAGCGATTGAAATCATCTGTCACCTATCTATCGATTTGCGGGTACATCGATATGGTGGACGATGGAAATGGTGGGGAAACGAATGTGTCTAACCGAAGCAGTGGATGTAATGTGATGCAAGGCTCAGGACTGCTATGACTCCCAAGATGGAAGTGGTTTGGTTCCTCGCCTTCTGCTTGCATAAGAACTCTATAGATGAACCTTGCGGCTGCTTGCTTCTGGAATTCGTAGTCGAAATGGTATAATAATAGTAAGCTTCTTTGCAGCTAGCTTCTTTATCTTGACGGGGGGCTCGAAAGAAAGTCAATGGGCTGGCTGGTGTTCAGATTGAGTGACGCCGCTCTGCGTGTTAGGGAGTATCCGACTTCCAATAATAGCACAGACGGAGTCTCTACCACAAGCCACAACAGATCGGCGCGTTCATTGCTCCCGGTGGGGTTTCACCCAATGGTATTTTTTGAAGCAAGTGCCAAAACTATCCTGAAACTCCAACTACTCCATTATCGCAGGCTCGTCCATCTATCTAAACAAGGTGGCAGTGAACAATGCATATTATCATACTAATTCGTCCCACCGGTACCGGTACATTTGAGTGCAGTTTCATCATTGTCCTTTTTCTGGCCCAAAGAACTGAAAAATTCCATCCTTCTCGTCTTCCCGTGATGGGCCACCGAGTACGCACAAAACTTTTACCTGTTCCTTCGTAGTATACATACATTGGTACCCATACGACTCTACCAACTCTATGGTTCTTTCCGACGTATGCCCTGACTGGCGGAGCATTTGCTGATCTGATGCGTAAAGGACATATTTGGGGTAGCCTACATCCCTGGCTTGCAACAGCAATCGGTGCATGCCCACAAGAACTGTGTATTCATGGCCCTGCACATCAATCTTCACCATGGCGATAGGTTCCAGAGCCGTTGCCTTCTCGTCTTCGCTGGTGAAAAGAATGGAATCCAGCGATACCATGGGTACAAATTCCTCTTCCACATCTGGATGTTGCACGTTGTTTCGGCTCAGAGACGTTTGATCGAAGTATCCAATGTGAGTGGCGGGTCGTGTAACGGACAGCTCTTGTTTGAAGGACCGACCAGCCACCGCTTGGTAGAGCTGCAATAGTTGATGTTCACGATGCAAGTCAAAATAAGGCGAGCGATAGGCTTCGCAAATCTTGGCGACATTGTATTGGATAGGTTCCACGGCGTAGACTCGTCGGCGTAATTCCAAGCCCAAGTTGGTCATGAAACCGACATTCGCACCGACATCAACCAGAGCTCCCGGAGTGTCTCTTAGCAGATTGTAGACAAGTTTGACATTCGCATTTGATTCCACGGGCTCTCTGGCCAAAAATTGAGGGGATTCGAGACGTCGATCCCACCAACCCAAGCTCACGGGGTATGCAATTTTCCTGAGACCCTGATCCTTAGCTTGCATTGGGGTCAGATGGATTGGCTTTTGCGGCGGTACCTCGAAGCAATCCACTGGTTTGACCAAGGCAAGTGCATCTGGAGGCAATGGTGATATCCCCTGCGTCGAAAAGAATCTCTCGTCTTGGCGCAACATCCGACTCCGGTTGGGGTTCTTTGAAAAGGACTCATGGAGGAACGTCAGCTGAAGAGCTAGACAGAAAATACAGAGGAAGAACCGGTACCGTCTACTTGAATACAACTCCAGGCGGTCTGGTGCGCCAGTTGGTGATGCCATTATCGACAACTCCAATTCGTTTTGAGTGACAGGCAGTGTTTTAAAAGTGCTTTGCAACAATTGCCTCCAGCCTTTTGGAACGGCAGCATCTCGTGTTCCGAAACTTGTTTTACAGGCAAGTCTCGGCGATGTGCTCGGTCGCTGAATTTCTCGAAGAAGCCCGGGCTGGCGTTTTCGAGGGGGGGGAGCGAGCGCAAGAGTGATGGGACCTTTCGCAAGGATCTTCATCATTGAACATCGGACGGAGCACTTGATCAATGATCATCATTCTCGCAGAAGTGAGCTAAGTACATGTACCAAGAAGACCAAATCAACCAAACTAATGTAACACGCACAAGTTTTATTCCAGAACATCAAAATCGCTCATCCCAAGTCCTACCGTAGCCGGTAGTGATCAGCAACTTGTAGACGAGAAAGCGCTACAGGCTGCGAGACCATCCTCGGCTTCCTTCATTTGTGGAGTAATAAGCCGCCCATTACGCTCCTGTGCTGCTGTAGTAGATCCCTTTCCTACGGTATCTTCATTTCAATGTCCGCAGTGGGAGTTGACGTGGCAGGTTCAATATGGGAGCTCTGTCTTCAAAATGGCAATTTGAGAGCATTCCAGAGGGTATAGATTCGGTGATACCAATTTGGTCGCCTCCTCCTTCGTCTGGGAACGTTGAATTTGCCCTTTCAAAATATGTCAAAGAGTACATAGCAACCACTCTTCACACTTGTGCCCAAGGATACTCACTTGCGGTAGATACAAGTGGTCGGAAGCTCATCCTCAAGTCAGGCGAAAACACCTTGGCAATGGCCAAACGGTTTGGGGAGAGCTTTCGAATCTTTCGACTGCATCCCAACTACGAGGGACAGCAACCTTGCGGCAAACTAAGGAGGGCGAACAACGCGCCTCTGTATTTCCACTCTTCCGTGAAGCGACAACATAAAATTCACTACGGCAAGAAAAGAGGTATACCGGTGTTTTCCGGCTGGGAAAGCATGAGATGTATCGAATTGAATCGGGAGCCAAAAACTCTTTTGAGAAAACTTGCTTTGATTCCCAATCAGGAGAGGAGCTGGCCTTCTGGAAGTACTACGGAAAGCAAAACCATGTTGAAGTCTTTCGGAATGCAGAATCCTCAACTCCGGACGTTGGTATGATGATATTTTTGACAATTGTTGCCGACTTGATGCATGAAGACGAATGGATGGAAGACGCGGGAGCAAACGCCGCCGTATCCTGCGCCTAGCATTCCTTGAGGTCCCCGCGTAGAGTGGCCTGTTGACCATATTGTTCTTGTGTTTTTGAAGCGGCTGGCTGTAAGCAGTCTACTGTAGGATAGTTTTGACAGAGTCGAGTCCGGATATGCATCTCCACATGGCAACAATGGTGATGATATCTTTCTTGGTTTGTCTTGTGTTCCTTTCTGGGGGCATGGCGATTGATGGCGTTTTCTCCTGTACGAGGTCCTCGTACCGGTATGAGTTCATTTTTGCTTCAGACAAGGCATTCCGCTTTTCTGAGGAGGGACTCCTCGGAATCGAATCTCCCGATAGATGTGGATAGAGGTACCGGGAGAGGAGATGACAAGGAAGGAAACTGGCCCTTATCGAATGACGAAGCTGTTTGGCTTCTCACCAAGGGCTCATGTATGCGGGACAACGACATTCTTGATATTCCCAACGACAACTGATGACATTCTTGATATTCCCAACAAGTTCAACTGATAGCTGATGTCCTCTTGAAGCATCTTGCTTGATCGGTGTCCAATCGGCGCGCACCGGTACCGGTTCCTGTTTGGCTGGACCACACGGGCAAGTACTCACCGGAACAAACTAATGCAAACCCAAAACTGTTGGTCAGACGAGCCAATCGGACTTCAAGATTGCATGCTATTATAGCAAGTGCCGTGGCGGACCGTCCGAACAAACTGCAACCGCCGTGTCTTGCCTGCAGCGAATCAGCTCTCCAGACAAACACCGACAACGAAAACTCAAAAACTCTTTGTATGCTTTATCTATGAGCACTTTCTCTATTCCTCTACCACGTGATTGACTAGCTAGCCAGCTTCCTTTACTTACTTCTTTTCGGAGAGGGTACGGTACTTTTCAAAGTTTGCCTTGAGTTTGCCACCCATGATCCTGGAACCCAATGCCTTTTTGGCCGATCCACCAAATCCAGCCACCAGATCGGTAGACGTTCGGCTCGCCAGCATGACAAGACTCTCTTCATTTTCCACAGGAAAGCAAGCCCCGACCGCCTGCACGCTATTGTGTCCTCGACTGACGTAAAAGTGTCGATGGAACATGAGGTAGAATCCCTTTTCGGCATCATGGTAGGATACCTTGTGGAAGATGGAAAAGGTGGGTTTGTCGTCAATATTAAAGTTGATCCAGCCATAGGCTTCCTTGACTTCTCCCGTGGTAGGTTTGTTATTGGGATAATCCAACGAGTACTTCATGAACTCTGGAGCCACCTTTTTGGCCATGGCCAGCTTTTCCGTCTTTTCTCGGAGTTCCGCGCCTGGTTCAAAGCTCTTGTTGCTCTTGCGCTGGTAGGCACCAACGCCTTCAAGTCCCTTTTGCTGATAATCTTGCAGACGCTTCGCCAGTACCTTTTTGAGAATCTCTTCCACTTGTTCCTTGGTGGCATTCTTCTTGTCGAGCCCGGCAAACATGGCTCGTTCTTCCTGCGACAAGTTAAGGTCATCGCTGCCATGACTGGTCGCCGCGTTCGCATATTGCTTGACCGAGTCCTTGACGGACTTGGCCGGCATCAACTCGACTTTGGAAAAGTCCAGAGTCCCATCCACCATGCGTTCCATGTACTGGATGCTGTCATCACTCTCTTCCTTCTTGTCGGACATTAAAAAGACCTCATCCAAATCTTCGGGTGTCCGTTTGACGAGCATGGCAAAACCGGCAGCCAACTCGCGGGTAGTCAAAGTGTCCACATTGAAATGAACCACTTCATGGTTCTTCACTTTGGCAGCGGCATCTTTGCCATAGCCGGCCATGGCCAAGACTTCTTCCACAGCAACAGTCATGGTGGATCCAATCCAATCTATCTATATTTGATGGGGTTTAAAATATCCGATCTGTTTTCTCACAAAACAGACCCAAACCGGCGAAGTTGTGATGAGAAGAGCAAACATGCTACTCTAAACCCCCATATGGTGCACACGGTCATCTTTTGCTGACCATTGGTGGCAACCAAAGATTCTACAATAGAGTTAAGGATGAAACTTCGGCACATGGAATTTACGGTTAGCGTCACACCTCATCTTTAAGAACCTAGTATGCTACAGTACTTAGCTGTCCAAAGACTCCCCGACGTCAGCAAAAAATGCAGGCAAAATTTTGATCGCGGGAGGTATGGCCAAGGTTTACTACTACCGGTAGTACGCATTTACTCGGAGCGATGGGTCTACCGGTACCGGTACCCGCGAAGGCAGCTGGGTGCGTGGCTTGATTCACTGGAGAGGCAAATCTATCGCTTCAGTGATGGATCATCGCATGAAGGTGAATAGGAGGAAGGAGAAATCCAAGGGTATGGCAAAGCAGCCTGGCCTGATGGAAAATCTACAATGGACAATTCCGCCAAAATACCGTAGACCGCACGGGGAACGAAGAATGACATGTTTGATGGTACTAGACTAGTGCCCAGAGAAGTCGTCCCGCACTCATGCCATGGAAACTTGAAGAAACTTTGTGTCATGGGGTCAGGATGAAACATGAGCTCACCAACCAAGCAATGAAAAGCGAAAAAAAGAGTCCTGCTGTACCGTACCGGTACCGGTACCGGTACCGGTAACCCGCGTTTCCGTTTCCGTTTGTGTGTTGTGTGTTGTTTTGCTGGTCACCATGAAGGAAGCATTGCTCTAAGCTCTCAAGGCCTTGCTTCCGGTATGGCAACCTATTTCGGGCAAACCCTTGCACCAGGATGATCACGCCTTTGCAAAGGATCTGAAATAGCCACTGCTTGCTGGAGCAATGCCAACGCACCATCATACGACTGTAGTCTCCCTGGACCGTCAGCAAAATCCCAGAGTAGCATGAAGGTCCAACCTGATGGGAAAACCAAAGGGGACGTAGACCGGATGGGGAAGGAAGAATGACATGGTTTGATGGTAAGTCATACGCAGGCCAATGGAACTTGGAGAAACTTTGTGTCTGGATGAGGCACTTGGATGGACACGAGCTCACCAAACAAGCTCATTCAACTATGTATGTATGCTCCCAGCGTCACACAAAGCCCATCAGACGAACAGAACGACGGCCGAACAAAGACAGGTGAGTCGGATCTGGAGGCAAATGAAAGTCTATCGGCCAAAACGTTTCTGGCTAAGTGAATCACTACGGGTACATACATATACCGGTATGGGGTTGCACGTGATGCTATATCGTTGCAAGTTCATTGCTCGTGCTGTCTTTTACAGCTAGTTTCGTTACGTTCATTCTCCAAGTTTTGTCAGCTTGTTTGTCAGTGCCTCTCATCAACGCCACGTAGTCTGAGGCAAACCTTTTCCATATCCCGTTCGTCGGATGGGTCGAGGTTCCTTTTGGCGTGCCCAATCGGCACCAATGATCCTGTAGTTGTACCGCATCCCGCTTAGTCCATCCAAAGCCGATGCCGCCTCAAATTGGTTGCCGAAAGTTACAAAAGCAAACCCTCTAGACAGTCCGGTCTCTCTATCTTTTGCGACATGGACCCTTGTCACGCGACCAAACTGGCGGCAAAGGTCAAACAAGTCGGCTTCGGTTGTTTCTTCCGACAGACCCACTACACGGATTAACCGGTTTTGGTCCTGCCCGTAACGTGGTGTTGGCTGCTGGTGATGATTAGGGGTGGTATGCATATGGAATCTTTGCTGCTGGTCCCATCGGTTGGAAAAACCATGTCTGCCAAGATGGAGGTGTTTCGCCTTTCTGCGCTCCTCTTCTCTCTGCCGTTCCATCTCCTTTTGCTTTTGTCGCTGCGCTTCCTTCTCTTGAGCTTGAATTTCCAGCAGACCAACTTTTGGTTTTGCATTTGTTGCTCCGCCATCCCATACCCCGCCAGAATTGACATGGGACATGCTGGGGGCCCATGCAATCTCATTGGAGGGTATCGTCGAGCCATCTCTGCAATTGTTTTCTTCGTTTATGTTCTCGCTCGGTTTGTTGAGTGAAATCAGCATGGACGACGCCAGAAAAGGACGCGCCACTTCAAACTCTTCTAGCCCGATTGCTGCTTTTCTTTGCTTGATGAATTCTCGGTTCATGGTCTGGTCGTCTTGGTGGTTGTAGTTGTTGTTGTCAATGTTTTGTTCTTTGTTTTGTTGTATGGTGAATTGTGAGTTTGGGTGGTGAGACGATTATCGTGAGACGCTGGAGCCAGACGTGCCTTCCTGGAATTGCGAGTTTGGCTTTGCTATGCTAGCACTAGTAGCCACATGTACATGTACGGTACCCGTACACGTACATGTGCCCGTACGGTACGCAGCAAGATTAACGAAAGCACAGAGCCCTATAGTTGTCCATGTTTCGATGTTGTCATTTGGCTCGACTCTTGACCGATAGCACATGAACCGATTTTCGGCAAGACAAGGCTGAAAGGCTGCAGGGAATCTTGTCGGAGGCCGTGTAGTCCTGAATGGAAGTTGCTGAAGGAATGGATGGTGATGGTTGCTTCTTGAGCCTACATGTCAATGCCGACCGCCGTTACGACGCAAGAGTTGGATCAATACAAGTCTGAGAATTGGCTGCCCCGTGCCTTCGTCTCTCTTTCGGTGCTTGTTGGCGTTGTCGGTTTGCTGCTGCTGTTTGTGGGATTAGCATGGCGAGGCAGCCAATCACAGATTTGTTTCTCCTTCTTTCGGTCTTACAGGTACCGGTACTCGTTTCTTCTGAAGGGACCCGTGTCAACTACTGGGTTCTGGATTGTACTGTTGTACGAGGTAGTTTTTGTCGGCTCGATCATCGTGCATTGACTGGACCTACTTCGTGCTACCGGTGGTAGCTAGCTAGATAGCTCTTCAAGGCAATATCCCCTCTAGCTAGCCAGAAAGGCCATTCAGCAGCCAGCAAAGATATGCCGCTTTGAGCGCCGTTTGGGTCTTCCTCTGCGCTTGTAGACAATTATTTGTAGAGAACTGGAAAAAGTGTCACTGATGTTGCAACCATCACCACCTTGCACTGGCGCCATCTTGTCCGTAACCCTAAGGAGATGCTTAACCTTAGGCAGTGTTTCAACTACTTTCGAAGGAGCCCACTTTCCCACTTTCCAGAGGCCGTTCAACAGGCCCTGCTTGACTGCATTCTTGGGGAGACTTTCAACTAATTTTTTCATTCCCCAACTTTTCGAAATTAGGACCCGCCATGCAGCCTTGAGTGTAATTAACAAACTTCAAGTTGAATACCGGTTCAACGGAAGGGAAGTACCAGTTAGATTCAAATCGACCAATCAAATCCACCATTGGATACCAGGTTGGATTTTGGATTTGCGCAAACAGGGACCTCCCGAGTTTGCTCAAACACCAAATTCCAAGTTGGGGCAAAGGCCTGTTTAAGGGTTCGTCAGCAGACTCAGGCCGAATAGAAGGCCCTAAAGTCCAAAAGTTGGGATGTGAAAAAAGTTGTTGAAACACTGCCTTATGACCATTGGGCAAGTACTCCAATGGTTGCAAGAAGCCTCCAATTTCCTTGCCAGCTTGCACGGGAACCAACATGTCCCGAACTTGTTGCAACGGCATGGCAGTCATTGATCCCATAGGTCATGGCCAATTCATAAGTGTCCGCACGACAATCAATCCCTGATATGAATTGAATGACATGAGCATCCATGGTCCATCTAGCTTCGCTTGGGGCCTTGCCCTTACTATCCACCCACGGCAAGACACACTCAGTCGGCACGGCCGTCAATTGATTGAAAGTCTGAACTATTCATCGATTTTCTCGACGAATAGTGTAGATAGAAGTGTGTACAGTGGTGGCCAAATCGAGCATAAATAAATTGTCAATGCAGACTTTGGTGGATTGTTGGTAGCAACATGACGGGCCATTTTCCAAAGACATTGTCTGTGTCTGCCACAAAGTCGGTAGGATCATTTGTCGTGAACTTGTAACACAGATTTGACTTGACTTGCTCCGTCAAAGGTGGCTTTTTCGTGCCCATGTTGGCCATGATGGCTTCAATCCTCAACTGACGTTTTGTCCGACCCTACCTTCCGCAACAACGTAACGTTCATGACTTGACTAGAATAATGGTGGCTTTGGCTGTCCTTTTAAAATAAACTGAAATGGCAGAACCTTGGCCATTGTTTCACCTTTCGGCCCACTCATCATCATCATCATCATCATCATCATCATCATCATCACGTTCGGAGGACTTGGATAGACTACTCAAGCGACTCGTTTTCTATCAAGGTGTCGCCTTGGTGGAGGTGTCACATCCGGCGGTTCGCAGGTTCAAAGAAGCCTTGAAAAGGCAGCAGGGCTGTGACTCACTGACGTCACGGACTAACTTCTAAGTACCGTAATGCCTCTAAGCACCATACCAGCCCTCGCGTGCATTCCGAAATTCTAACCACATGGTCATCGTGACGATCACAATTCCTTCATTCTTCTTGGGTCTCTTCTTCTTGGGTCCGAAGGACAGTGAACAATGCAGACGACGACAAAAACAATAGTAAATCCTTACAAGAAGAGGCGCTCGGACGATGATGGCCCCTCTCGAAGCCTAAAGACTCGTCGATTGGGAAGCTACTGCTTGGATCCCAATAACTGCCACTGCCTTTCTCCGACGGAAGGATTTTGCCGCGTGTGTCGGAGGCCCTTTGAGAAAGGCGACTGCGCGAAACCGAGTGAACAACAACAACAACAACAAGGTCTCTTGGAACATGTCCGCTGCCGAGGTTCCGAAAACCCGCTGATCGATGGATTGTGTATCCACAAAAGCAAATACGACAAATGCTTTTGTAAAATATGCTACAACGGACCGTATCCCTGCGGACGATGCGGGGACATGATCCAAAAAGGAGATTGCGTGGAACGCTATCCCGGTCCCAACTTGCCTGGGTTGCACACATTGTGTCCATCCAACAATACTGATACTGAAACCAAAGTACATGTTCCGGTTTGGAATGCAGTCCATGTGGCCGACCCAACAGCACCTACCAGCGAAAGAATCGTATGGCGTATCAATGTTTGATTCGATTCGATTTGATTCCACACCCTGGGGATTTATTTCTGCGTCAGCTCGAACGAACCAACCGACCGAACAAGAATCCTCCATATCTTGACCATGTCGAACAAACAATACAGCCACGTGCACACGTCTTCGCTGCGATCGATGCGTCACACTACCATCAAGGAAGAAGTTCCATCGATTCTGGAGGGATACGCTCCTATAATGGAGGCGGCAAGAGCATTTCCGATTGCATCCTTGCGACCACGGGTATCTTATTCAAGTAAGTTACCAGCACACTGGCATCGAAACAAACACACTGGATTTGGGAGCCAAATACCGTACGAGATTTAGTGAGGGCATCCGGTGAAAATTTGTGTTTCCGATACTAGTAACGAACACAGTGGGAAGAAAGTTCATGCCAAGCAAGTAACGGTGGTAGGGGTGGATCTATTCATTGATTTTGTGGTGGATGTGGGATTGACGTTGGTTTCCAAGTGGCTGGTTGGATTGACTGTTCGAATCGAATCAAAATCTGGATCAGAACAGAGCAAAGCGGCAGTAGAAACCACGAGACACAAAATCAAAATCGCAGAAAACAAAAAGTTCCTTCAGAAGATGTTTTCTCGAACTGGCGAGTTCCCTTTTACTGTAAGAGGATACGTTGACTTTATATTCATGCATCACCGCCAGGTCAAGGTCTGCAAGTCAAATCATAACAAAAGAGGCGAAATGTTGATGTTGTGGAGGTTGTACTTCCAAGAATGGTGTTTATATTTGAGAATGTTGTGGGCATTGTTAGAGGGAAGAGCCTCCAAGTGTCATGTTCCAGCAACTTGTTGCCGATCCACCTAGCTAGCTCTTGGATATCAGGTCGGGGGTTGTGCCTGTGACGCTAAAGATACGGAGATCCTCAAGATCGGCACAGAGTTTCCTTTCGCTGTCCTGAAGTATTGTGAGCTGCACCAGGTTCCCCTGCCCACACAGGTAGACCTCACGTCACACCTAAAGATGCAATTGATCGACCTTGAGCATCTAGTTGGAACCTACAGTACACTCGTGGATCCAAACTCGATTGCACATCCACTCCACAACAATGTCATTGTCAGAAACGAATAATATGGAGGCCAAGTTGACCACGGCAAAAAAAAGCTGGAAGCAGACAAGCCTGCCTCCGCTGTGAAGCAGCACCAGGTCATTCATTGCAGCAAACATCGGAGGCTTTCACTCACTAAGAACGATCGATTGCAAGGATTCCGCGACGTCCATATCTTCAAGGGCAAGTGCTTGGGCATTCGGAGGCAGGCAAATTGGGAATGCACTTCCTGTTCAGCTTGCTACAGCCATAGCGAAGACTGTGTTGAGCTGCTTTGATAGAACCAACGGCTATCGATCGCTTGAGCAACACTCGATCGTGTCGTCCGAGACAGCTCGACCGCGGACGTTGCATGTCTTGCTGGATGGGCACGCAAGCTGCATATGCTGGACCTTTGATGTCTGGCCAAAACGAGGCCTCGGAATGCCAAGAAGGAGCATTCGAACCATGGAATGTGGCAATGCGTTGCTGTCCTCGTCTCTCCTGGTGACTTGAAAGTGCGACAAAGAGCAACAACGTCAAGCCAATAATTTTCCATCGGAAACGAGACTCCCGTGCGTTGCAACGCAACTGGTACACTACCGTCCGAACTAACTACAGTACTGTGCGCGTAAAGGCAATGATCTAGTTTTGGATGATTATGCTGCGGTGTCACAAGTGGATTGGTTCTGATAGGGCCCAACCTCGAATTCAGTCATTCTCTGAGAGTTCGCCCGTCAAGCAGGCACAAAGGAACGAAACTCCAAGGGAAACAGCAAAGATAATTCCAGCTATTGCACCTGCACTCAGGCCACCGTCATCGGAGTCCTTGCCGCCGTCATAGTAAACAGCGCGCCACCGCCAACACTCTTGCGGAGGCTTCTGAGATATTCGCATTGGGCCTCTTGGACGAGGCAGGCCAACAGGAGCATGGATAGACAAAGAATACAGGTAAAGCTCTTCATTGCGTTGCTTTGGCTTGTTGGGGCTCTTGGCTGGCTGTTTTTTGGTTGTTCTGTTCGTCTCGTTTGTCCAAATCTGGTTTTGTGAGCAAAGATAGATAAAGAGCGTTTCGATGCCTGTCGTTGGCCCCCTCGTCAGTTTCGCTTTGAGACATGGATAAACAATTTATCTAGCTAGAAGAGAGTCTGTTCGGGGCTGGCTCTTCGCTTTTGGACTTATCAAATGCAGCTAAGGGTGAGAGTGCTAAACTATTTGACAGGCAAGCAGAGTTTGGTTGCCAAGTGCTACGATGCAACTGTTCTGGCATCTCCTTGGCTTTGGATTCTATCATTCCGTTTGGTGGTCTAATAAGGTTCGGTAGAACTAAGAGCAGTGTCAGTCGAACATAAGGTAGACTTGGGTTGTACTATAGTAGGTGTCTCCTAGCTATGCTTGTTGGTGGCTGAAAGAGCCAACGAGAAAACATAATCGATCTGCCCCTTCTGATCGACGAAGTTCGAGTTCACCTCTCCCTTGATGAAGCGGCCATTGAGGTCGCTGGAACCGAATAGCCCGCTCTGATATTTACGACTTTGTTGGAGGTTCGCCTCCTGTTCGCCGTTTCTGTGGCCCTAGCAAGACTTGGTGTTCGTTGGTAAGGCGAAGTCCCCAACTTTGGAAATCGCATGGAAGATGGCAACCCTAAAGGCTTGCTTGCATCCACGCTTGGAACTGATAAAGGAGGGATTTCTCGGTCGTTCTTCTACTCTGGGCACTTGCTGCCGTTGCTTGCCGAAACGTGAAAAGACCGCCTAGCTAGGTGGACGGCATTTTCTCCCTTGCGCTGCTGCTTCAGTGACGCACTGCGTTCCAAAGCGTCCATCTCCAGATGAACCAAACCCGACACTTTCCATTGGGTTCGAACTTGAGGAGATGGCCTGCCGTACACAAAACAAGCTAAAGTTCCACATTACACAGGGACAAACCTCGAACGGGCTGAACCAAACGAGGAGCCAAGGCAGCGCATGTCAACATGTCTTCCTCATCAGACCTGCGTCCGATGCCGCCAAGAGAACTACTTCAAGGGGACTGGATACAGCTGTGATCCAGACAGCCCCTCGTTCAGCCGGTTGGCGCCTGATCGGGGAATGTATTCTTCAATCGTATTGTTGTACAGCTCAGCATAGGAACCAATCGCAGAAATGCAATCCCGAAACATTTGTTTGAGCTGGTCGCCATAGAGAAACACTGCCGGCATTGCTTGTGGATTCTGGGATGTGATGCCTTCCTCTTCTGCGAAGATCGTGGCTTGGACTATCCAAAACAGAAAGTCGCTCCATTGCACATCGTCTTTTCGGGTCATGAAGGCATACGCATCCTTGCTGTCATTGTCGTAGTAGCACGGGGTGCTAAAGGAGTACCCCTGGCCAGTGGTTGGCTCATGGTATTCCGTTTGTAGCGACACACGGGCACCCGCAACCAAATCGACTGAGCCATTCTGCAAGGCTTGGTACGACTCCGTCTGGTCCACCATCTCAACATAGACAACCTTATCAGCAGCATCACCAAAGAAGATAGAAGCAGCTATGCCCCGGCAGAACGCTACATCAAAACCCGACCATCCTGCCGTCTCTTCCCACTTGGCAAAGGCAGGACCACGGTTCGGCAACACTCCACAGCTCAGGTAGCCACGCTGTTGCACTGCATCCAACGTACCATTAGGGACGGGTCCTGGACCAACTTCGACCAGCTTGCCAAATGGCAACGAGTACAACAGCCCAGTTGTGGAGTTTGTGGTGTACACATTGTTCAGACCAGCAACACGTGGACCAATGACAGGTTCCATGCCTTTTCGGAAGAGATCCCCATGGTGTCCAAAGTAATCCACGAGCTCGTCCAGAAAACCTTCCAAGTCCACCGGTTGTCGCTGCCTTGCACGTAGCCCACTGCTTCTCGATTGACTTGTAGCAAGTTCTTGGCCCGCTTCTGTAGCAGAAATATTTCGTGCCTCTGCCACAAAGAACGCATTCACCACAATGTTGGCCATGGTCGTCCAGTGCGGATCATTCTCCCTGGTTGTAAACGCCAGTGGTTCTTTGGAAAAGAACTTGGACGCCATGACCCATTCTCCCGTGTAAATGCCATTGTTTCGCACCCGTCCCAGCGCCTGCGGCTCCCCGGCAACAACATTGCATTCCCCCGATTGCAAACTGGACGCAAACGAGCTGGATCCTTCCACTCGGCCCGCCACAATGGCACTGGCATCCAACAACTCCAACAGTCGATCTTGGTGCGTGGTGTACTGCTCGGCGCATATCTTCAAATTGCGACATTCCCCATTGAAACTATCCAACCGCTCGGCACAATCGACGTAGAGAGGTTTCCCCGCCAATGTCAAGCCCGAGTACAGATAGGGCACGGGAAAGGAGAATCCAACTTGACTGCCTCCCTCATGCACATCGCGTGCCATGTTGTGGGTGGTTCCAAAAATCTCAATGTCAACACTTCGGTTCTTGACAAGCTCGAATCGGGTAGCCGATGTGACCCACAACGGTTGGACCTTTTCGGGATCTCCCAATGCCAACAAGGCCATGGCTTTACAGTATTGAGCTCCCAGGGCTTCTGTGAGCTGTTCCTTTTCGGGGTCCCAGTCGTTGAACTCGCCCAATCCACAAATCACGTATCCCCTTTCTTGGACTAGCTCCAGTGTGGGACGATCATCGACAATGGGCTGTTCGATGATGGTACCGTTGCTTGGCGGAATCCCTGGGTTTTCAGCATTGGAGCTTGCATCCATACTAGCGTCGGGACTGTTGTTCCTTCCCGACAATCCAAAGCCCAACCCCAAACCAAGCGCCACAGCCAGGACGCCAACTACAGCCAAGATGAATAGGGTCGTTCGTTGCTCGTTGGGTCCTTCAGTGACCACCACATCGGCATGGACTGCCTCTTGAAGAACCTGCTGCCGAATCTCCTCTTGCATCTGAGCCCTGTCATCTTCCACTGCCACGGCTTCCAGCAACAAACTGGAACGATCCTGTTGTGGCGCCAATCCTAGCTCGTTGTGGGAAGACGGGTCCATATCGGCTTCTTCTTCTTCTTCATTGCTGTCCGTTTCCGCCGATTGCTCCTCAATGGGGGGTGCAATATGGAGGCTGGACGCAACCGGAAACGCTCCCGGCAAGGAGGAATTGGAGGATTGGCGCTGGTCTCTCCGAAGCAGGGTTGGCTGAAGTGCCTGACAACCTGTGGCTTCTGAAGGACGTTTCTCGTCCACCTCTGCTTCATGGCCACTACCATCAGTGGCCGTGCCGTCAGTCTTCGCGGGGGCTTCTGTCTTGGCCTGGGCTTCCGTCTTACCCTGTGCTTCTGTCTGCTTGCCCGCCCCCATTTCCAGGTCGGTTCCATTGCTATTGGTATCTCTTACCGTTTTGGTATCCTTAGCAGCATCGATTTCCTTGCCCTTTTCATCAGGGTCTGCCAAAACCAGGTTGACAACTGCCTTTTGAAGTGCATCTGCTTCATCCATACTGAACCTGTTTTGCGTTCGTTTCAACCTACAATGTCTTCCTTTTCTTTTCTAACTAGACTAAAGAGCAGCAGTGGCATCCAGTCGAGTCGAGAACCCCTGATCTTTTCACGGTACGGTAGCCAGCCTTTATTCTCGACTTACCGGTGGTATTTACAAATGCAAATTGGCTTTCGGGCTCTTCTTTGATCAAACGCAAAAGAGCCAGATTGTGCAAGGAGAGAGCTAGCTAGACTAATGCAAGTGGGTTACGATGATGTGGTTACGTGGTTACCGGTACCTGGTAGAGGAGCGGACTGTGGAAGGTCACACAGCTGTGATGGCGTGACAGATAAGCTGACAGCTATTAGTTGAGCAATCTATCTTTGATGCTTATTGATTGGAGCTCTTGCCTTTCTTGCGCGAGCCAGATTTTGGGTTTGGTGGCAGAATGCAGAATGCCAAAAACCACCAAGAACTTAGAGCAGTCGAGTACTTAAAGGGCGACGACTGAGACGCACTTGAGGCCATATGGCCTTCTACCTACTAGGTGACAATTGAACACGTGGTTTACAAATGATCCCATGAAAAGTGAACTGACAATCAAAGAATGCTGAAATGGGCACATATCGATAGTCTACCGGTACTGTAGTAGTCTAATATGAATCGAATCCTCTTGTTTTCAGAATCAGATATTCACTGTTGTAACCTACCCTTGGACTCCAGCAATAATGCTTCAATCCATATCCAAGGATAGAAAACTGGTACGTGCTGGTTTTGGTAATTTAGGTAGAAGCGGTAAACCTATATAGAAGCTATTATCAATGCATTATCGGCTAAAACCCGAGGTTTACCGCAGCTACCTTTCAATTACCGTACTGTCTTACTTCCGGAAGGAACCAGGTTTACTTTGACTTGCTCTTTCGAAGTCGCGGTTGCGAAAAGTGGCGCACTGCGACTTTTAAAACAAACAACATAGGTTTTACCGCGACCACTCGTGCCGTACGCGAGTACCGCCGGAAAAAGAATATTATTATTATTATTATTATTATTACGCCATCTTAGTTCTGCTTCATTGTTGTTGGAGCTGTTGATCAGCACATGACATGTACTCAGTAGGATAGACTACAGTACTGGTACTAGAACATAGGAGGATCTAGCTAGCTCCACCAACCGAGGGTTTGGTGACGTGAGAGTTCCTGAAACCGCCGAGACATTGTGTTTCGCCATGATGGAGGGGAGCAGCGAATGAATGAATCCCCCTTTTCCAAAGTCGGGGTGATGCCTCAAGGATTCATTCAGCCCCACCTCAATAGGTTCAGCCGTTGCAGTTTTCGATAAGAATGTCCCACTGCTGCACTCTTTTAATGTTTGCTTTCTTTGCTTGAGCCACTGCCTACTCTGCTGCGCTCCGCTGTTGCTATCTAATGTTCAAAGCTAACGTGCATGAAGCTACTGATGATGTACAGATATAATTCAGTTGGGTTGTAAAGGGATGAACTCTGTGCGCCTCACATAATATGGGGGTTTGCACTGCCGAGCATGGTAGCCCATTTTGTTTGGCACCGTCTAATATAATGCCAGAGCTGCAAGTGGGCAGCATAAACTTTGAATACATGTAGTTAAAGAAGATCTGCCTTACTAGATGTAGTATGCATACATGTAGTCTTCCCTTCTGAGTCTTCTTCCATTCACTCTAGCTAGCTAGCTAGCAAGTGAGAAGGGGGAAAGGCTAAAGATAGAGTCACCAGATCAACCCATTACGGTACCAGTACACTATTTCGTCTCCCGGAGACGATTTGCTTTTAGGGGTAAGGGTACCGATGGGGAGTGGAGGTTTGAATTATACCCCGCGTGCATTACTTAGAGGCCTCTGTAGAAGTCTACGTATTCGACTAGTATTGTATTGACGGGATACAGTCAACGCATGTACATGCACATGAAAGTCGCCTCGCTTTTCACACAAGTTTCGCATGAATGAAGTTTCGGTTTCGGGGCGAAGCAAAAAGAAAGGGATGAGCGCGCGGAGCGCGCGAATACCGGTAATCCTCAACCTTATTTCTGGAAACGGAGACGACCCGTGGGCATATGAATGTATAACATATCGACTGGCTTAAATAGTATCTTTTGTAATCTGCGCCCGCGAAACCCCGAAGATGCGACGACACAACCCTCTCCACAGCAGAAGCAAACCGAAGACAACGAGGGAGGTTCAGAGAAGCAACATGCTGAGAACGATGCGGCTCCTACTCACAAGTGTCCTTGCCATATTGGCCCCTGCCTTGGTCTGTTCATTTCATCCTACACAACGACTGAACCGACCCAACAACAATCCTCTGCTACTACAAGCCACCACGAGTCCACGGGAAACTTCTCTTTCCGCTACACGACAGCAAGAAGCCCAAGGACTGCTGGATATATTGCTAGGTCGGTACGCCAACAAGTCCAGTGGTGACGATGGCGATTCCATTGATGGCATTATTGGAGATTTGATTGACAGTTTGTCGCAAGCTCGGGTATCTTTTGATCCTGCCGAGACGTTCAATGGACCTCTCTATGCGGTGCTACACCAACAAGGCCCCAAGAAACCACTGTGGGAGAAAATCAGTCTATTCTCCAACAATAATGTCAAGGGACAGCAGTACACTTACAATGCCGACACCAAAGAGTTTGATCTTGTCAATTATGCCGAAATTCTTGGAAAAGGTAAAAGTTCATTTGGTTCTGGCTTGTTTGCTTGCGTCCTTGTTGACTGCAGGACTGTTGGTCCCTTACATCGTTCTCTTTTCCCCTCTTGATGGATTGATTCTTATTTCCTGCTTTGGTGGCTGCAGGTGTGTTCATTCAAGTGGAGGGCACGGCGAAAGAATCAAAGAGACCCGTTTCCCAGGCAGAAGACAGCAATGACCAGTCTGAAACTTCAGCTCCAACCTCGTCACTGTTGGATGGCATTACCTCTTTCTTTGGGTCGGACAAGAGGGAACAATCCTCAACAACACAACAATCATCATCATCATTATTGCAATGTCCCTGTGACATTGTCGCCACAGTGGCGGGCGGTGGACTGTACGTGGGTGGGAACAAGCTGTTTGGCCTCGACTTTATCCAAGGGACTGGTTTGGTCCGCGTATTGTATGCCGATCCCAATCTACGTATATTAGAATCGCCCTATCAAAATAATGGTGGATGGGAAGATAAGGGCCTTATTGTCGTGCAAGTGCGACAGGATCTTATTCCGCAATAATAGGTAGTGTATTACAACACTAAATGGTAAAAACCATGGTTGTCGGAAGAGAAGAACGACCGGATTCGATTCCTGTTCGAAAATACTCTAGACTTTTCCTAGTAGATCTGTAGATGACGTTGGCGTGAATGTGACATTGAAAGACGACTTTGGTTGCTACTGGCAGCCTACACTAGCTTCTTAACGAGAGGGCTAGGCCGCGGAGCTATTTCATCTCTCTTCCACGATGCCTTTGAAACCGTGGAGTAAGTAGCTGATTTCCTTGCGATTAAGAAACATTAGAGCAAGGTAATCGTGGAGAATACCGTGGATACAATATCCTTTTCCTTAAACTACGAGAGTGCGCTTATCTTCGCCAATTTAACGCTCAAGTGTCAACAATTAAGAGAATGGTGTCGCACCTGACAAGTGCGGCCAACCTGTGTTGGGGCAGGCTTTCCGGTCCGTTGACCTTGGAAGCTTTCACCGACCGAAGACAAAGGCGACCATCACAGTGGATCTTGTTGAAGTGATAGAGCGTGTTGATTGACCATGGCGACCTACTTGATTGCTTCCATCTCCAACAGCGGTGGCGCACCGGAACAGGCGTACCGGAAACTGCAGACAGCCGGAGCTTGTCCAGATAGACCCTATGCAGGTATGTAGGTTTTGACTTTGTTGGATGATTCGATTGACTTCGAAATGGGAGAGATGGCTTGCTCCGTCCTGCCGTCATCAATGGACAAGACGGATCTTTACTCGATCAGTGTACTCGAATCAAGACCTGTCGAGAGTCCAGAAGAAGGTCAAGGCGAGACTGGTATTGATTGAAAGCTTCCCCTGGATCTTCTCTCGACATTCGCCACCACCGACACGGAAGATCCATCATTTCCTTCGTCTTTTGGTGGGGAGAAGAGTCTCCATTGGGGCGACACCCAAAGAGAGACAAGGGTCCACACAAGGCTCCATCTGTTCGGTTCCTTGTCCTTAGCCAGACTGATGGCTTAGCCAGACTGACTGCAGCATGCTGGATGGACCATGTTTCTCTTCTGTTGGGTCTATTTGGATGCCATCAGTCCTCTACTAACTTGTGGAATTCTGCTCACTCATTCTGCTTCTTCTCCTCTTTCTCTTTTTGCTTGGTTTGATCAATCTGCAATCCATTTTGAAAATGACAACAATACGCAAACCTCTTTTGGTCAAATACAATAACTAGAATTGTTCAAATTGGAAGTCCCTTCCTTGACGGTCGGCACTCTGGATACTTTGATGACCCTGAGTGATGAATTGGTCCGAACCGATGCCATTGTGGAGGGAATTGTCCGAAAGATTGAAAAAACAGCCATGGAATTGTCGGACCGTAGCAAGGCCGATTTGAGCGTGGGTGGGGTCCCGGCTCCACGCTACATTCAACAGTTTGCCTGGGACTCGGCCAAGTACCCCAACCGTCGACCCCTCAAAGATCTCGTCAGTCTCATTACCAGTGGTGCCGTCGCCGTGGAAGCCGAACTCAAACAATTGACGGCCAGTTATGGTGACAAACAGATTGCCCTTCAAGAAGTACAACGACGAAAGGGTGGTAACCTCATGAGTGCCGACCTCAATGATGTCTTGAATGATGATATCATGTCCCGCGTCGATGTCCATGACACGGAATACCTCAAGACTGTCTTTGTCGCAATCGCAAAGGGTGCCAAGGAAAACTTTGAATCCAGCATTTACAAGATTGCCAATGATTTGGTCGGATACGGTGGCCCCGACTGGAGTCGCGATCCGACCAAATTGGGAGAACCCGTCAGCTTTGGTGCCAAGGTCGATCGTCACAAGGTCCGGGGATCTCCCGTCGTACCAGGATCCCTCAAGCAAGTCCATGCCGATCACGATTCTCTCCTCTACGCCGTGACCATTCTCCGAAGTCAGTACGAAGCGGGATACTACGAGAATGGAGAGTTCCAACAGGGAACCAAGGTCGATCTGGTCGAAGAATTCACCAAGGCGTGCCGTGACAAGCGTTACGTCGTCCGTGAATTCACCTGGGACCCCACCAAAGCTTCCAAGAGCGAGAATATCTTGGAACAACTTCAAGTAGAAGTCGATGGTATGAAGAGCGCATTGATGCGTTGGTGCAAGACGCACTACGGAGATGCCTATGTGGCATGGATGCACATCAAGGTCATTCGAGTCTTTGTCGAATCGGTCTTGAGGTATGGACTACCCGTCGACTTTACTGCCGTCCTCTACAAAGTACAAGGTAACAAGGAGTTGGAGCTCACCAAAGCATTGGATAAGCAGTTGGGGAATCCCAAGGAAGAGGAGGACGAAGAAATGGAAGGAGATGAATACCACGATTTTGTCTTGCTCAAGTTTGATGCATAGATATATATCGTCATGTGGAACAATGCCCTTGTCCTTCTTCGACCTATATAATACCAAGGTGTACTTGATGATGACCAGCCAGATCACATACATCCAAAGCACTAAACACAATAAGCAACACCTGTTCTCTCCTGCGTTTGTCTGTTGCACATGCATTACTCCGGCGTATTACATGTACCAGTAGCGTGTTGCGTGGCTGATACCAAGAGCTCGAAACTAGCTAGTTCGAATACTGAAGTAGCTAGAGCTGGAGCACTTCGTTCGTGGCTCCTTCCCGCGAAATCCGTTTGTTGAAGCATTTCTTCGTTTACGGAAGGAGGTTGTGCGAAGCCGCGGCACCCTGTGCTCTACTAGCTAGTAGTGGAAGCGAGCAAGTCCGTCCCAAGAATCACTCCAAAGTCAAGGGTTTGGTTGAGCTATTATTCAATCTAAAAACGAATGGATACTGGAACAACATAGACTATTCAAATCAAATACATACACCATGAATCAATTACTTAGTGCGCGGCCAAGGATCAGTTATACAAGTGGGTTGTCATTGGTTTGGAAGAGAAGTTGGATTACGTTCTGCCGATTGCTTTTGCTTTGGACGAAAGCCGAATCGACTCAAATCAGAGGTTTCCCAAGCACAACCAAACGCGTGATATCGATTCATGGAAATTGGCGCAGGGAACCGTTGTTGTCGACACGAGTCGCATTGCTTGTTCCGACGTTCCATGATGGAAAGACTCAAAGAGAGGGATGCGTTCCAGACACTCGAAAATCGTGGACGTTGTGAATCGAATCCTTGTACTGCCTCGTGCATTTTGATTCGATTCGGCCGTTTCCGAACACTCCCAGAAAATGGAGCGACCACCACATACTAGCGCTCAAATCGCATCGATGCCAAGGTGCCATGGCCTTCTCTGAATCGCGGAACAAACATTGAATCGAATCATTTGGCATAGACCTCTTCAACAGGAAAGGGTGGGATGTTGAACGTTTACATCCCGGGAAGTAGGCGCCACTTGTCTCATTTGAGGCTTGTCCTCGGATGCGAATGATGACCTTGAGTCATTGGAAGAGTCTGCGCAAAACTCGCTCTTGAGCAACCCATGGATCAAATGTCTGGACGTCCAACCCAGCCTCCAATTCAGTCCGTCATTGCTTGAAGTGATGATCGAGCGAGCAACTGATGAGTGTCCACCGCCAATAGTCATAGCTAGAGCAAAGCTACAGGAGGGCCAATTTCGGTGGAATTCATGTTTCGGGTGGAGAAGTAACCTGAAAAGTTCAGGCTTGGCTTTCTGGTCACCAGTTTTACGTCGATGTCGCATTTGAACCGACCCGAGTACTTTCCTCCTCGCTCGAGAACCCGATCGACCTCTATCGTCGTTTCCTTCTCACCACCCTGCATCTCTACCAATCCTCTCACGTTCAACGCAATGGCACCTAAAAAGTCGTCTGCCAACGTGATTGTATCAGAATCCATGGCCACAACGTAAAGGTTGGCTTCGTCTGTGATGTTGACGTTTCTTGCAAACAGGGCGATGCGTTCGCCCTTCCAATCTGGATGCAGAGTCAGGTCTCTTACGCTAGTCCTTGGCCAGCTCTTTCCGCTCACCAGTTTCCTGATTTTGTCTTTGAACGACTTCTTCTCGGGCCGAAGATCAATGGAGTCCCAAAGGAACATCAAGTAAGGGTCTGAGAGTCCATTGCTGTCCGCTGCGGGAAGATCTCTGCACCTCATGTTCTTGAACACAATGCGAACGTCGACGTCCTTTATTGGTGTTCCATTAAGTTCATTTGGAGCGATGGAGAACGCCGCGCGTATTGGTTTATGATCTGACGTTTCGAAACCAACACAGGCCTCGTAGGCTAGTGGGTCCAAGTTATTTTTGAGGCCTTCCGCTGACTTGAAAAGGATTCGGTCCGTGTAGCTAGGAGTGCGCTGCCTCTTGTAATTGAAGCCAGCTTCGCGCTCGACCTTGAAGGTAGGAGGGAACAAACACGGCAACGTTTGAAAACCCAGCAAAAGATCACCGTTCCTTAGCCCCTCAATGAGTTCATCGTACTCGTACAAAGCGTCGTAATCCTTGAGCTCAATCAAATTCAAGGCCTTTTGAACACTGGCTTCGTGCGTCATCTCTTCCTTGAACTTTGTTCGAAAGTTGAGATCGCCCATGACAAACATATGATGACTTGAAATGGAGGCGCCCAACTTGCTGCTCAAATCATAAGTTCGAGATTCCGTCAGGATTGTCTCTATATTGTCGCAACGAGCCTTATAGTAAGACTCTCCTTCATGAGCAGCCAAGTGTGCCGACAAAAAGCTGAGACGTGTTGTCTTGTAGTTGAGTGTCACTACGATTCCTCCTTTGTTGGCCATAACCCCACCGATGCCAGTATTGGCTCCACTGATCCGAACTGTGTCAATGTCATCATAAATGTCCACCAAGGCAAAAATGAATAGCCTCATCTGGCCTCGCAAGTCTTCTGCTACCATGTGATAGTCAACTCCCAAAGTCTTCTGAATCATATCTTTCAACGCAGCAGTGTTGGCGTCCTCCATGGCATTCAGGATTTCGTCCTCCGTAAGCTCCTTTTTCGAGTGTCCTAGTTCGTCCATCGAGCTCTTGCGCCCCGTGCTTTCTTTCCAGGTAGACTCCTGCATCCCAATCACGATCAAATGGAAGTTCCCTTGCTTCAAGTCTGGATCATGGTCCTCCAAGGGTGTAACCAAGCTGCGCTTGCCTTGCAACGGAATCCATGCCTGCATCGACTCCATCGTCGGCTCGGCATTTCCGATGTTGGCAGTACAACAGAGCACCTTGATGTCTTCATCTTCGGGATACGACGAGACTCGGCCGGATACATACGAGGAAACCCGGCTGTCTTTATATGGCGCTGGTTCAAACTTTGCTTGGATGAACTGGGGAAGCCCACAGCACAGCGGCAGGCAATTAGCAATGACACTCAAAAGGAAGCTTGACTATGTCACAAATTTGAGCAACTCACCTTGGGAAGTACATAAACACACATGGCAATCAAGGTATCCAATGTCCAGTTGTAACTGAGCAAGGCTGCTACCATTGCCATCGAGAACATGTCACTGAGATAAAAGACATTGAAGATACCCCTCAACAACATGAACATCAAATGAGAATAGATCATCTGGAGAGAGTTGAAGAAAAAGAGAAAGTTATAGGCAGCGCCGTCAGCTTCGATTCTCGGTTCAACGGGTTCACAGAGTACCTTGCATCTATCTCGGTACTGTACTTACAATCCCCAGCGTCTTTGATTCGTTGAATTCCTTCAAGACGTTCCTTGACTGTACGGCAAGAACGGTCCCGATCAAGAGCAACAAGGCTTCCCATCCATAGGCGACAAATTTGAAGTAAGGGTAGTTGGACGTACAGCGGAGGTCGGACTCGACAATGTTCTCTTCGCCGGGGACCAATCGGCGATTTTCCGTTCGATCAATGGCGTCAAACAACGTCCAAAAGACAAGGAAACCCGCCACAAGCGCCAGGCAGAGAAAAATATACATGAGGAGGTTCCATCGACTGATGTTCACTCTCTTTTGTTTCTTGGCAGATTGAACCAACGTATTGATGGCGGCAGTCTTAACCAACACAGGCACCAGCTCGACTGTATATCCCATGAGCAAGAACCACGTCAAACTGATGCACGTTTTCTGAGTCGGCTCTGCGGCCAATAATGCCGAACCCACGCACGTCATGACCATTCCGAGCAAGATCAGAACAAGGAATTCAATTTGTGCAAAGACCATGACTTTGGTTTCTCTGTAATGCCAGCAGAGTCCCACACCAATCAGTGCAGCAAATCCCACGTAGACGGCAAATATTTGTGCCAGAATGAGCCACCATGATTCGTACTGTGATTGCTCGGAGAGCTCCCTGGGGTAACCAGGCGGGGAAAACCATTTCAACAATTCGTAGTTGTCGACCATCCAACTGCAGACGGCTTCTCTCGCATCATTGCCGTATCGATCATTATCGTAGGATAACCATTTTGCAAACATCCGACTGATCTCCAGCTCTGTGATGCGGACGTTTTTGAGAAAATCGTAGGTTGGTGATTGGTATGCCTTGTCGAGGTCCAGATTGAAGTTTCGCACGGAAGCGGCCACCACTTTCAGGAGGCCCTGGGCTTCATTGTCGCAAGCCCCGAGTGGATCCCCTCGTCTCTCCCAGACATCTTCGCTGCATCGTTCTTCTCGAGTGGTGCGATGCGTTTGACAAACGTCGGTAGCCGATGGCAACATGACTTTCTGGAACGCATAGTCCGATTCAGCAAACTCATCTAGCAGCAACTCGGGTGAGTACCAACCCACAATAACGTGACTTTTCGTAGCATTGGCCGCTCTCCAGACCTCGTAGATTGTTCCGTAGTTGTAGCGGCCGAAATCATTGGGCCCGTCGCTGATTTCGAGGCCAACGAGATTGTTCCAAAAGATTTGAGCGTCCAAAAAGATGCTCCAGGTACAAGGAGGGGCCACGACATGTCCTGTGCAATTGGGATTGATGTCGCAATCGTTCTTTTCCGTGGCTCGAAAGTATCCCTGGTACAGTCCTTCCGAGTAATACATGGCGGCCTCGTCTTCATCCTCGGGATATCGTAAAGCCGTGACATCGTCTACGGTTGTTGTATTGTCGTATACGGTGCAATTGTTGGAAGACACCTCGCGACAATAGTCGCCCCAAGTGGTTGGCCTCTTGAAAATGTCTGCGAGTTTGCGTCGATTCGCTTCTCCTTCGAGACCGTAAAAGATGGCCAGATCCGGATACGTGGCCGCGGTGTGCGCCGGAATGTAGAGTGATTGCCTGGCAATCTGTCCATTGGCAATGGGAGGTTCAATGCTGTTGTTGTAGATGAACGGCGTAAAGTCCGTGTTCCAGATATCCGGGAGGACGTGAGCACACTTCTTCTTGGTCTTGAGACAATCGTGGTGTCCCCACCGTCTCTGTTGGCGGGTAGCCTGATCGAGCGCCGCGTATGCTGCGTACGAGGTTTCGGCTCCGTAAGGAAACGTGTTTTCGGGAGCATAAAAGCTATTGGTGGCTGTTTCACCCGTCTTGATGCCAATGGCGACGGGTACTTCTAGAATTTCCATGAGTAGTACTTGGTATATCCAGGATAAGAAGACACTAGATTCCCAGTCGGCTTGGTATATTCGCATTTCCGGATAATTGAAATCGGATAGTCGGCATCCCTGATGATTCAAGAGCAGACCCTTGAGCTCTCGCCTCTCTGATTCTAGCATGAAATCGTGTGTTCGTGCTTGTTCCCATAAGGACATTCTGGCTCCTTCTCCTGTCAACGACGTGTCCGTTGGAGTAAAGTTGTGTTTGGCCTGGAATGCCGTGAAATCATCCGAGTTACAGATGCGTGTAATGCTGCGAAGCTCAGGGGTAGTGCCCAGACGCTGGAAACATCCCCGCTGAAAGGGGCTGCTGCAGGTTCGGGCTCCACTGCTGCCTTCTTCCTCCCCTGTCAAGCACTTGGACTGCCAACCAAAGAGGGCTCTACATTCTGTATCCGTTTCACAGGCCAACGCAGCATCCGCTGAGGACCACTGCAAACTTATTAGCACCACTGCCAGCAGCGCAACCAGAGCAGAAGATGCTGGAACAACCAGCAACTGGACATGTGATAGAGATCTCATCAACATCAGAGGGTATGTACCGAGCCTTGGGGGTAGGGGTAGCAAGACGCTAATAGATAGCCACCGCTTTTCAGCCTTTGCTGGAGAGCAGGACCTAGTTAGCTAGATACTGGGATAATGGCTTGGAGACAGAGGTGCTCAGTAGTCCGAGTAGTTGGTTCCAAGCTATGAGAAATCTGATGTCGAAGTAAGTCTTCTTTCTTTGTTTCTTTTGGAATACCGGTGGTACTAGTACATGAACAAACTCCCATGAACAACAGCAACGCGGTTCGGGTTCTTTCGGGTGTCGGCGGTGCCCCCTGCTGCATGCCGTAAGTTCCAAAGACTACCATCGGTACGTACAGTAGGTCTGAACGTGCGTCAATAGTTTTGCCGCATTCTTTTTGATATTTCCAAAACGTTCTTACTTACACTCTGTCGCCTAACCACGGACAATTCTTGTTACTAGTATCTGAACCGTCTTCTCTAAGTCCAAGAGCAGCGTATTGTGCTTGTCTGGCGTGCAGGAGAGTCTTTCCTTATCTCACCAGCTGCAAGTGTGACGTAGGCTTGTGCCGGTACCAGTTGCAGAGACGTCACTTCAAAACACGGTACAAAACCATTCCCAGAGGTGACCAACGCTATCACCCAACAGCATTGCAAGCCACGGTCAGATCCATCAACATGATCGAGCCATCGGTTCATGAAGTGGCGCAAGTTCTGAGTCCAGGGAGAAGAGCCGGAAGGCTGGAGATGGACCTGGTGTTGGGCCTGGAGTTGGTCGGGCCTCCATGCATGGGGTCAGGTGTGGGGTCCAGCATGGGTGTTGAAAGCTGGCGCGGCACGTTTTGTTGGTCTTGGGATGGAATCGAATCAGTTTGTCTGATCCAGTAGTCCAACCACATAGAGGTCCTGGTTTCATCCCAGACTTTCTCTGGGAATGGGATTACCAATGGAGTCCAGAATTGGCTGGGAGTTGCTTTAACTACCAATATTTGGATATTATCAACTATTCCTAGAATCCAAAACTAAAGCATTGCTACTTTGCAGGACGAATATGTAGCATTTTGGATGCTTTGATCCTCATGGGCCCCACCATGTCATGCATCACGGCAAGCTCACCGACAAGCAATTCTGCTATCCAATGGCTTTTCTTCTGGAGATCTGCTTCTACAATCGTGACTAGTTCCCCATTGAGTTCTGGCTTCAGTGACTTGGATGGAACAAGCTGCATGATGTCTCCCGCTTGGATTTTCCCAACAGGTCTGCATGCCTGTTGGTGACCAGCTTTCCATGATGCCTCTTCACAATCAGTGGAGCAGTAGTGTGCCATGTTACACTTGAGGCAGCACTTCATTTGGATCTGCCCAAGCTCCTCTTGAGATTTGCCACAACAGTCACAGGCAAAGCCTCCAACTCGAATCCTCTCGGCTAGATCAGGTCGAGTTGCAGGAACATGACAACAGAATTCTGGAAACGTTGCCCCTTTCAACATGTCGTGGAATTCAAATCGAACCTCCAAAGCATTTGCCACACTTGCTGGCCGTGCTGTCGTTTTCATCCTTGTCAAGTCTGCTTCAAGCTCCATTTTAGTATCACCAAGGAGAGTTTCGACTCTTCTTCTTCCTTTTTGGGGGTTGTCACCAAGAGAGCCACGAATAACTCTGTTCTTTTCTCTGGCAGTGGCACTTTGTATGGAGTTCAATGCTCGGCGGTAACACTCTGCTGATTCGTGCTGATCGCCCTTGTGCAACCAAAAAACTCCCAGCCCCTGCCAAGCCTTGGACCGAAAGAGCACGGGCTCCTCGCAGTCTTCCGCAATCTTCACGAGACCATCAAAATCTGCCTTTGTGGCTCCCTTGCAACCCCGTAAAGCTGTCACATATACTTCAAGGTTGGCATACTTTTGACCATGCTTTGTCAAGCCCACATGCCACAAGTAGTCATCAGCCTTTTTCCGAAATCCTGCAACAAGTATACCTTCCGGTGGTACGGGTCGTGGTTCATCCGCTTGTAGAATGTCCAAAATCACCTGAGAAGTGTTCCTGTCGAACTGCCAGTTTTCTTTGATATTTTCATCTATTTCAGCTTTGTTTGTGGGGGCTTGCTGATCAATGTGCTTCTTAGCGCCTCCAGCCACCTGCATGCTGCTGGATTCCAAATCAGTTGCTCGTTGCTGTACTAATGAGCTCAGTCCAAGGTACACGACGAATGAGGCAGACCGAAACCACAAGCATCATGTTCGGTTTCGGCCACGCCAGCGTGGAAACCCCCTTGACACAGGCCACGCCAGAAGACAGGCACGACGCTCAGCCTATGAAAGGTACTGGTACCTACGTGAAAGTCTCTGGCGACCAGGCTCCTGATGTGTTTGTCTTATTAAGCTCCTGATGCCTCAGCCACGCCATGGGGATACGCGCAACCTGGAAGTTCCACGCTGTGACATTGTCGCCAACCAGACCGCCACCTCTTTTGTCTCGCTTTCCAAATGTGTCTCCGTCCTCACTCTCTCACATCCGAACGATCTAATCGTTCAATTCGCGCCAGCAGAAGCTTGCCACAGGGTGCCTTCGAGTTGCCGACAGAGCAAAGTCAATGTACCAGCTTGTTCACGCAAGCTCCAGGCCAATGACATCCTTCTTCATCACGTTCCACAATCGCAATTTTTCCTAGACCACCATGTGGCGATAGATTGCGTCCCCATCAGCCACGGCTTTCAAGGAGGCTTTTTCACCAACGCACCAAACATCACGTTGCTTCATTGGAGCTTTTAAGACATGAAGAAGATGTGGAGCTCCTGAGAGATGCCAAAAACGCTCCTGATGCCATATTGCTTGGCCCTCATGGCGCTTCGAGTGCAGACATCTTTGGTTGCCTGCTACAAGAAACTCCAGACCCACTCCTCCACATAATTTGCTTGACGCCGCTGATGCCGTGCGTTGTTCCGTTCACTTATTCAAGGTAAGTATCTGCTGAAAACTTTCCATTGAACTTCCAAGCTTGCTATGCACCCGAATTTCCAGCCGGGTCGTGGCGAAAGGTTGCGAGCGCACTAATAAGCAACCTCGGTTGGATGCACGCGAACTCCTGTGACGACTCTTTCTGATTGGAAGTCATCGTGGGCTTTTGACGTTCCAATGATCCCCTCAGTGACGAAACGACAACCCTCAATCACACCGACTCTGGCCACGCAATGTCCCCGCTTCAGGTACCCACCCGACCCCAGCCAGCAAATCTCCTGGTTTGTTCACCCAAATCGCCGATCCAATCATGGATTTCGCGACAGACAATAGCTATATTTTCATTGTTTAAATACTAAGACAGTTGTTGTTGATTGCTGTTGTGTGCATGTACGTAGTCTACTTGAGTTTTGCGCACTGTACCAACAAGTCACTGACTGACTGACTGAGTGACCGATATGAACCACATACTTTTTAACTTTTTATCGGATGGAATGGAACCGATCCATCCATCCATCCATACGTGCAATCAACCAAACATGATACAGGTTGACAGCCGGCAGACCAAATAAGAAAAGAACACTACCAAGAAGGACAAATCATCCTCTTCCAAACACCCCAACCAACGACGAGCATGATGATGTTGACAAATTGTTGCATAGGCCATGAAGTGGAGCGGCCGTCCTCTTGATTCGATTCTTCATCATCAAATGACAGAACCACTCCAGATGGTTCCATTTTTGGATTTCATTCGGAGCAACAAGGGGAAATAACCACTCACTATCACATACATGAAACCACCACCCGAGAGAAACACCAAATAGCTATACGGTGGCAACCAAGCAACCACTAACACTAACTAGACCCAGATCAAGTTTTCGTAGGTATCCTCGTCGTCGACCAACCCCGAGACATCCATCATGAAAACGTCTCGACGCTTGTTGTTGTTGTTGCTTGCGTTTGCTTCCGTCACTACCACATCTTCTTGCTCGTCATCCTCGGGTGTCCACAAGGGCAAATCGAGATTGACTTGTAGCAAACACTCGGGTTGATTTCTCAATAAATGATACAGCACCGGTACCTTGTCGACTTGCTGCTTGGCATCGAGTACTTCCTTGAGGACGTTCCATCGTTGTTGACTTTGCTTCGTTTCTTCTTTGGATGCACCCAGCTGTGTCATGCCCGTCCACCGTTGCAACCAACAATCGTGTTTCTTGTCCGCTTGCAAGAGTTCCAAATATTCTTGACTTGACACGTCGTGTTCACCCACGAATTTGGTCTTGACGCGTTTCAAATGCGGATTGGCAATCATGGCGGCCCATGCTCGTTTCTTGTTGTGTTCCGAAACAAGTGTCGTTCCGGAATAGCGGACCGTATGCAGATGGGTTTTTGCGAGTGCGGCAAAAATGGCATTGGCGAGCGGATCGTCTTGTTGCGTGGTCGTCGTCGTGTCCATACTAGTGGTTGTTGTAGTGGTTCCAACAAATCCCCGTTGACGATGCACAAACATGTACTGAATCGTAGTATTGGTTTCCATCAAGGTTTGTAGAGCATGCGCGGCAGCATCATCGAGGGGTGGATCGGTGCGATTCCACAATAGATTCCACGATACCGATTGGGCGGATGTATTGTACTGCAATCCTTCCGCCAAGGCGACAATGGTTTCGGTCGACAACTCAGTTCCAAAAATATGAATGTGAACGCTTTTGAGGGATTTGGTTTCGCGCAACACCCGTCGCACGGTGGCACCCAATGTGGGACACGTCAAACGGGTTCCGACGTAAAAGGCGACATCTTCCACCGTCGCGTCCAACAGTGTATCCTCCAAATCGTACAGCGAATGAATGGCGACACTGCGACCGCCAGTATCACTCCGAATGGCCGCTACCGAAGGCCTATAGACTTGAAGGACTTCAAAGCCCGACGTGTCGCCATTGTGGTTTTCGTCCAGACAGCCTTGGCAGACATCGTAGTTGGGCTGGACGCGACTCTTGAACCGAGTTCCGACAATGGGTAGTTCGCCGCATTCGTCACAACTCACATTCAAGTGTTGTTGGCGGGGAATGGTAGCAGCAGTAGAAGCAGCAGAAGCAGAAGCAGCAGCAGATGATGTCGACATCTTGATGGATGGATCAGATAGATCAGATTCAATAGAACTATCAATCAATAGAAGAAGATGACCGTACCGCAAGATGACGGATGATGACAAGATGGGTAGATAGATAAGAGGAGTCAGAGTCCGCTAACAGTCCGCTAACTACTAGCTAGCCAGTGGCAACGACGACAAATTTGGCGACCAGTTGGAATTTCTTCTTCTTTTTGGAGGCTGCTGCTGTGATTTGTGGGAGTGTTCTGCTGAATGCTCTCGTCCCTCTGTCTGTCTATGAGGAAGCGAAAGATTCTTCATCACCCTGACATCTATTTTCTCAAGCTTTCTCACTACTGCACTCGCATGCGTTAGTCTGGCATCAGAAGTTTCTCAATCGTGCATCTTCCTTCGTGCTTTCTCGTGAATGACGATTCGATTCTGGATCTTTTTAGAGACAAGGATTTCAAATATTAAAGCAGCATAGCTGGGTAACAATCGTGCTTGATTGTGTTTTGGCTTCAAAGACATGGCTCTTGGGCGACACAAAGGTGGAACTTTAAAATAACACTACAAGGATGATCTTGCCACCCTGGACGTTTACCGCTAGCTAGTCGGTCCCTGCCCTCTCCCTCCCCTGACTCTGTTTACTCTTTGCCTGCCGTCTCCTTCTGTTTGCCTGTTCATTGGTTTTCATTCCCTGCCGGATGGACCTTTATTTGCTCACGAGGACTGCCGACACACACGATGTGGCTGGTCCCTTCTAACACATAGTAGCCATTCCCCTACCGTTCTAGCTAGCTAGCTAGCTAAAGTGGAGGGCCCGGGCTTGTATCATATGTGCAACGTGATATACTGTATAACATATAGTAGCCATTCCCCAACCGTACGAGCCGTGAAAGGTAGTTGAAAGGTGTATTTAAAAAAATGCTCTCCAGAAATGCGTTCGTCTTTCTGGCAGGGTGGATGGGAACCTTCCTGTGGTTGGCTGGCCAAGCTGTGACACTGGACCAACGCAGCCACAGTCGCCAGCAGCCAGCCAGTTGCAACATTCATACCGTAGCCCGACACCTGCACATGCACAGACATGGTCAAATTTCTTTTGGGGAAGCAAGAAGACTCCGAGTACTACAGACAGCGACTAGAGCGTCTGACGCCAAACACCCTTGCGAGCTTAGGTACCTACCTCAGTGGTCCAGCACCATCCGCCAAACTGGACCGATTGCACAAGTTCCTTCATAGCTAGTAAAACTATATTATTTGAAGTTAGGCAGCTGCCATGACAGCAAATTGTACCGAGACAGCGAGGACGACAGCGAAGGCAGAGGAAGAAGTACTTTTGGAAGGAGAGGACGAGTTTTCCACAGGTGCCGCCGACGGTGCTGTTTCTGCCTCGGGTTCGGGGGGTGGTGGAGCTCCAGCTGCCTCGGGTTCTGGCGGTGGTGGAGCTCCAGCTTCCTCGACATCTGGCGGGGGTGGAGCTCCAGTGACATTCCCCTCTGGTGGTGGCGGCGCTCCAGTGACATTCCCCTCTGGCGGTGGTGGTGCTGCTCCTACTTCGTCTTCGACCTCTGGCGGTGTTGGAGCAACAGCGACCTCGAGGTCTGGTGGCGCGTCGACCCCTGGAGCTGCAGCGACATCCCCCTCTGGCGGTGGTGGAGCTCCTACGGCTTCATCGTCGACCTCAATGTTCACAGTGTCGGCGGTTGTTTCTCCAGCCAATTCGCAAATTGCAGGTTGGGAAAGATCGGGCAGGACCTCAGGACTGTAGCAAGTAAAGTCAGCATTGGCGTCACACTGGAGACCACAGGTGCTGTCTCCAAACCAAGCACAAGAGTCGGCCTGTCCATTATTGTTGAGACAATCACTGCAAGATGTAAAGTCAACACAATCCAACTCCACAACAACGTCGACAGTCTCAACTCCTTCTTCTCCCGCCAAGCCACAGATTTCATCCGTGGGCAAGTCAATGACTTGAGGACTGTAGCAGGTGAACGTGGGGTCCACAGCACAATCAGAGACACATGTATCATCTCCCAACCAGGCGCATGGCCCAGCTTGATTGTTCAGGCAACCATTGCAGTCGGTAAAGCTACTGCACGAATCCGTCTCACCACCCACTGCCGCGGCGCAAATGTCCGATACCACCAAGTCGGAAAATGTTGTCTGACTGTAACAGGTAGCATCAGCCACAACATTGCAACTTTGTTCGCAGTTGCCTCCGATAAAGACACAGTCCAGACGACTGGAAAGACAGCTGATACAGTCGTCTCCAAATCCTTGACAGGCATCAAAGGAATTATCCACTTCCCCCGCTTCCACGCAAATATCAAAGCCACTGTCCAGTTCTGGAAACGTCTCTGCAGTCCAACAAGAGGCATCGGCAATGTCACAGTCGGGCCGACACTGTCCGGCAGTCCATACGCACTGCAAGTCGGAACCATCCAAACAGTGAACACAACTATCGCTGTGTTCGGCGTCGTCGCATGCCACGGCTCCGGCTTCCGCACAAATCCCCCATTCGGTCAGTTCCGGGAAAATATCGCGATTGTAACAGGCCGCGTCCGCAATCAACTGACACGATGCCTCACAGCCGCCACCAATCCAACTACAGCCCAACTCAATGTTGTACAAACAATCCAGACAATTGTCCACATCGTTACAGACGGCTTGGGCGTGGACGACGGTGTTGGTGATGGCACAGAGGAGCACCAAGGCGCTCATGAATAGCTTCATGGTTAACACTATCTACCGTACCACTACGGTAGTCTTCAGCAACGAGTGAATCTTTGTTTTGTAACTCGCTGGGTTGTTTTTTAAAAAGAGGGGAGAGGGTGACGAGAAAGAAGAGAGGCTTTCATCTTTCATCCAAGGCCAAAGAAGCAGAAAGAAGATCCAAAATCTTTAATAAGATTTTTGCCTTCAGAAAACATGCCTTCTTCGAGCTTCTCAAGATTAGACGTGTTAATTAAAAGTATACGGTAAATCTCTAGCTACTCTAAGTAAAATTCAATGGTCAAAGTGTCCTAAAATCTGAGCCTAAGTACAGTACTACGGTAGCTAGAAGCGAGCAATTGTTTTTAGTTTACTACTCCAGTATAGCACTACTTTTTAGTAAGCACCAGGTAGTACAGTACGTAATATTAATACTACAGTAGCAGTATACTTTTCTGAGTACTTGTGCCCAGTAGAGTGCCGTACCGTAGAACAGCTGGAGAACCCGAACCCTTCTTGTCACAAACTCACTTATGAGAAAGTTCTGATTTCATTGGGTTGCACTATCACTCAGCGCCATTTTGGACCCCCAGATTGTTTGCACAGCATCTGGCCAGCTAGGAGTCTTCTTTTACCCAGCAGAGGCTATTGGGAGCGAACAATGGAAGCGGAACCCATTTGAGGAGTTACTCAAGCAGTTTGCTTGCTTCTTCCCGAGCGAACGCACGAGCTTTGCAGCGAAGAAAGTCTTCGGGCTCGTACAGTAATGGCCAGCTACAAGTCGAGTCAACGAGTCAACAAGCGGAGCAGGAGCTACAAGTAAGGCTTACAGCAAATGTGCGAAGGCCAACACTTGGTTCTAAGTAGTGTCAGGTACCTTTAGCCCTACAGGTATGGAAATGAGCAACGTGAGGGCCGGGAGAACTAGCAGATTTTCCTCGGGGAATAAGGGTAAAATGTTACTCCCATAACGTTACGGGTCACATAGGGTATCATCCCATAATGCCACCCTCCAGTCCTCATATCCCCTAGTCTTGGAATGGCTTTCTTGCACACAAGAAGCGTAAATATGCTGGGAAAACGCACAATTCACAGAGGAAAAATCGGTGCATTGAGTAACGCCCGGAGCAACATTCGAACACTCAAAATGATACGTTTTGGTACGCTCAAGTTGGTCCCGGAAGCCGGAATGTTATGCGACAATACCATTGTGCATTGATTAATCTAGGGATCTAAGAGATGTAAAGTTTGTATTTCCAAATAAGTGAGCAGTTATTGATTATTTTCTAGAATAAGCCTGCAATTGTAAAGCTGTAAAGCTGAATTGTAAGCTGTATCCCGTCGCACTCCCTTACAGCTGAAATGAAGCTGGAGCAAGAAACGATAGGAGAGAGTCCCCAGCAAAGTGCTGAGGTAAATTACCATCCCATGAGGAGCTTCCGAATGACAGCAAACTGTGGAGCCGGAAGACCTTAGTGAAAATGTCGGCCCGTTGTTCCAGAGTCGGATATACTTAGCCACGATGCCTTCGACTCCCCGATATTGGATCTGAAGAAGTGGTACTTCAATGCCAAATACTTGTTGCGGCAGACATTTTGGAACATTCACAGAGACAGGCAACCCTGGTTGTCTTCGAACACTGTAGAGCGCACGAGACTGTCAGTAATTACCGGCATATTCAGTTGTCTACCAATTTCTTTGAGCAAAGCTCGCATAGGAGCAGCTCCCTCATTGACAAGCTGAAAGCAACATACTCAGCAGCAGTGCGAGGTAATTCAGTCTGTGACTTGTGCCAAAATAGGCACCCAAACAGTCAGGACAATCCAGTGGAGACTTGACGGACACCGGATCCTGTTCATCTCATATCCATACAATCCGGCGAAGTCAGCATCGACCCAACAGTCAAGTCCCTGATCAAGTTTAGGGCTAAAACAAATGCCTTTGTCACTTGTGCCAATCAGATACCGAATGATACGTTTGATTGCTTGAGCATGGGAATGCCTGGGATTGTGACTGAATCGTGCCACCTGGTGCACACTAAATGTGAGTGTCTGGGCGAGTGTTCGACGCAATATAAAGAAGCATCCCAACTGCAGCTGGATAGCTCCACTCTTCTTCAAATGGGCCCCCAGTTTGTCAGCTCCGAGAGGATCGGTGGCGGCAGGAGAAAGCTTCTTGCTAGCGTCAGACATACCAGTATATTCGATGACTTTATTGATGAGCCCCTTTTGAGTAAGCTCAACATTGTCTCCCTGTCTTTCAAATTAATGCGCAGGAATCCAAAGATGTCACCTTTTTCTCCATAGTGAGGTCATATCCAAGTTTCTGGAGCTGCCCAACATAGGACTCAATCAGATCATTGTCTGGACTGAGCCGATTTGGTCATCACAATAATTTAATACCATGAGTTGATGCTCCTTATGAATAAACAAACATGGGTCTGCTGCCGAGGTTTCGAAACCAAGTTGGATCATCCCGGACATAGATGCTCATAATAATTTAGGTGAATCGGTCTGCCCATAGATGGACTTGTCAAGTTTCAAAACACAGTCCTGTCCTTCATAGCCTTTGGGTCGATAGTACTGAGGCAATTCCATGTACAGTGGCTGGTCGACAGGCTGAGGGCTTTGACAGAAAGCAAGAGTAAAATCAACTTGCCTCGATTCCCATCCATGTGCAGCTGCAAGAAGAAGACCGGCTCTAACGGTGGGCCAACCAACAAGTGGAGAGTACGCGACACCTTCATAGGACTGAAGGTCTCCTCTGCAGCACCATCTAGATTTGAACTTATTTAATTGTCCGTCTGGTAACTCTTAATTCGTTGCACCCATGTTCCAGGAACCGCCTTTAGGTGTGAGGGCATAGAAGAACGTGTACGATTGCCAAGTCCCTTTGCCTTCAAGGCTGGCAATTTCTTTGTCCATTGCTGCCCAGAAATGGTCTGCATGTGGTCCATCAGAGATTCTCTTCAAGAGGGAGATCAGGGTCTTTGGAAATTTTGGCCTTGAGAGCCAGTGGCTTTGAAGAATGCCAGATGAAATGATCCTGGGTGTTGGTCAAAGGTGAATAACCATTCACCTGAGATTGCATCATGTGCCCAGAAATTGGAGTAACTCCAAAGGTCAAAGCTAAAGCACAACTCAACAGGGATGAAGGACGCGCATATGTCTTCAACTTTGGGTCCATGTTCAGAGTCTCAGGCTTCTTGCTGTGGGCTGTTCTACTGGGATTACGACGAGGGGCAGAGATTGGCTCGATGTGGACATCAGTGGTGGGAGTGCTGATGGTGGAGGCTCCCTGTCCCAAGAAGAGGGTAAATTTGTGAGTCTGAAGTGGTGGCAGACGATCTGGAATCTCCCTGTGTGAAACCTGGGGCTGTGCTGGAGACGGAGCTTGAAAATGAAGATCATCCCTTTTATCTTTGCTCTTGTCATCCTGCCATAATTTTCTCCATGTCGAGCTTCTGAAGATGAGATCGTGCTGGTTGATGGCCTTTCCTCTGGAGAAGCCACTCGTCTGCTAAGGGAGGTGGAGTGTCCTCATCAAATAGAGGTCTCGAAGCGTTGGAAGATGCACATGTTGGTCCACTCTAGAGGTGGTTGATCTTCTGAGGAGTAAACTGTCTCAAACCAATCATCATAGACAAGATGGTACTGAGGGAAAGGTATCCGGTTGTAGGTTGCGGATCATCTCTCTCTTTTCCCTTTTTCCTGGCCCAGTTACAGAACCCCCCTCTCACACCGACCTATACCCTCCCCCCTTCGCGGCCT